CTAAGAAGTCGTCATCTAACTGACAGTTACTTAGTTCAACCAACCAATTTAAGATTCGTCAAGTGGCAAATGCATAGTTAGATACATACCTATATAAAAAACAAAAAGTAAATTCATAAAAATATGTTTAATAATCACGTGTGTGAAAAATGCGCATTAAGCCTATTTCTATAAACGCACAAAGTAGTTAATGGTTTTCACTTACAGGCAAGGACAGCTGACTGCATGACTGCGAATAAAACTCGAAATTAGTGAAACCTTTAGTGGCAATTAGTTGCCGAAACAATGTTTTTTTCTTTCATTTTCGGAGATACGCATAATTTTGCATGCATTTTACACAATGCATATGAGTTATTGCACTATTAAAATATGTGTATGTACATACATATATAAGCATGTAAGCATTTACTTAACCCCAAGTAAACATAGGTCAAAAATGATGCTTGAAAAGCGAAAGCGTAAATGCTGTCGCGGGTGTTACTCACGACGAGTGATTGCGGTTGATGGTTCAAAGCGGTTTTTTATGCTTAGAAATAATGAAAATACAGCAATGAAAATTAAATTACAAATGGCAATGAAAATTGTGGTAGCAATAGAGGGAAAACATATTTAAATTATTCTTGTTAACCATTATGAGAATTAGGAAACAATGGAATTTATGAATAACTGTGTGACAAAAAGCGTTGTTAGCAAACAAAAAAATAAAACGAAGCATAGCCATTATTAATGTCTTTTTATATTTACACATTTAATTATATGTATATATGTAAGTATTTATTTACCTATATATGTACATATAAATATACACACGTCATGTGTGGGGAGACAACCTTGACATCGTCAACTCAACGCCATGCAATTTTCGGACGCCGCAAACTTTGAAGAACTTTGCCGCGTGCCTTTAATAAGAATTCTGCATTTTGTGGGTGGCTTCCATTGACTTACAAGTTGCTAGTGCGGTTTTTATGTTTAGTAATTGCTGTGGTAGTTGATCATTTAACATTGAAGGTAAAATGCATTACTGGTGTGGTTTTACCATCGAATTTATAGCAGCCGCTGCGGCTTACTAGGTAGCGATTGATAATTAAAAGCGAATATTTATATGTACTCAGCTTGAAATAACTTAAAATAATGCAATTCTTAGCCATTACTTGCAGTATTATGCAGACAGCTAAGGAATTTTAGAAAACCGGTTATTCTAAGCGTGATGCTGTAGTGGCCATGAAATTCTTTAACTATTTGATGTAAGATAACCAAGGATCAATTCTTCTTTTTCGTTTCCTTTAACCACGAATGGGGCATATGTAGGTCGTATAATACTCATGCGCCCCTACGCCATGTTTTGCTTATGGAAATCACTTTGAGCTTCTTCCAGCTTAACCGGAGTTCCGTTGCCTCTCGATCGACTCTTTCTCTCCACATATCGCGCAATCTTGGGGGGAGGGGGGCTGCCTCTACCAATTAGGAGATTTCATTCCAAGGCCTTCTTTGTGCAAAGTGTGGCCTAGCCATTGCCATTTCTATCATCGAATACAGTTGTCAAGGCGCTACATTTTAGCCATTCTAAGCAACTATTCATTTGGTTCAATTAAGAATTTATATGTTGCGGAACCTCTGTGACCTGAGCTACGAAAGCTTCACATCGAAAATCAGCAATCGTAATGGGCAGCAAAGAACTTTCACGACCGGCGCTAAATCTGGCTCAAGCAAGCAATTCCATCTTTTTCCATCTCCGAGTCTCTACGTATCACTGCGAAAGTTGTGGTTGGTTACTAACATCCATGCAGAAACGGGTGGTGTGACGAAGAGTGCCGCATAAAAAGCCACCCTGTAGGGAGGAGGGAGGAAAAGAGGAAGGAAAGAGAGGAAGAAAGATTGGCCCAGGACGCAATTTGCACTAATACATAGCACCATTTGAATACGCTTTCTCTGGAATACCTGGTGTCATAATTTGTCAGTTTCGCCAAAGAAACCAATTATGTTTGTAATGGAGCATTTGAAAAAAATCCATAAGATCTTGGACGAAGCATCTTCATGGTATATCATGCGTTTTGCGTGCCAAAGCTGGGGACTCGCAAAAGTTATGTAGGTGTCGTGAATTGTACCTAACGCCAATTTTGGGTCGATGTCGATCAATGAGCCAATGTCCCGTTATCGGGGCTGTTATCCTATCTATTTTCTTGACTTCTTCAAAAGTTCCTTTACTTTTGTTTTGTAGTAATGTGGCCATATATTACTCGCAGTTTTGCTGAATGGAAGGTTGTAAATGCACTACCCTTTTGATGTGTCTGCTTCGAATTCCTAAAGAGATTCTCCGGTCCTAGCCAATTCGTCAGCCCTATCCCTGCGGCATATGTTCCTATGGCTAGGAACCCAGTTGAGGGAGATACCTACTGACTTAATAATGCCTGGAAGACCCTCCCGATTCGCAGAACTTTGCTTGGAAGCTGCCAGAAAAGTTCGGTAGTTGGAAGGAGAGTCAGTATTGTGTGTAGTATTTAGTCTTTCGCCTTATATGACAACTTGATAGTCGATCCGTTAAGGGAAGGAACCTTACATTGTGCTTGTGGCAGGCCAGTATGCGGCATGAAAATTTTATCAGAAAATGAGGAAGCAGTCAAATGGTTTCGAGACTATTTACATCTGGTTCCTGCAGAGACGAAGATGGAAATCTGGCAAGACTACGGGTTAAATGGGACACCGGCATGTTTTTCGGACCTCCAATCGACCAAGAAGAGGTGAGAAGACAAGTGATGCAACTTGGGAACAACAAACCCCCCGCTCCTGATTTTGTATCTGCTGAACGGTCGCTTTGATCACCATTTTAGCGAAATTTAATCATATGAATATAGATTCGTAGATTTTACCCTCATGTACTTTGCCCAATCCAAAAGTAAGAAGATTCTGCTTTTTTCCCAACTACTCTCCTTGGTGTGGGGTTCTTCGAAAGATTGCATATAAGGTCCTACCGCCGATTTGATGCTAAAGACTAAAGCCCCTCACGAACCAAATGTTTGCACCTTATCCGTGTGTCTTCAGATCTAAAAAATATACCATTGGCCATATTTGCACAGTACGTCGTGAAATATAGCCTAGATAAAAATCGACACTCACAAACTTTTCGTCGATTTTAAAACCACTTCTAATTAGCACAAAAGTGCATACAGCACTGGTAAATATCTAATTCAATTACGCGCATATTAAAATGACGGCGTTCGTTCTGAAAAAGCATCCGAGAAGTGGTCAATCAAAGTAAAATCGAAACAAGTAAGAAAGTCTAAGTCCGGGCGGAGCCAAACATTAAATACCCGGAGCAAGTATTAAATATAGGTTTTTTCACTTTTTTGAAAACTACCGCTGCATGGTAAGCAGGGGTGGTTTTACCCCTATTTAAACATCTTCGATAGAACGTTCAGTTAGACATATTGTGCTAAACTTATGTAGTCATATACGGGCGGTATCACGTCCATTTTCCAAAATTGCAAATAACGTTACTTTGAGTAAATTAGCGTTTCAAGCATTTCTGAAATTTACCGTTATATGAAAAGTGGTGATAATTTTAGTCCGATTTCAATAATTTTCAACGTTTTTCTTTAATGTGGCAGGCACAATAACCATTCCGAGTTTGGTACAAATTGGTAGAGAGATTACCGAGATACGTATGTATGTGTGATCATAAGTGGGCGGTGCCACGCCCATTTTCCAAAATTTTATTATAAATGTACTCCTTGCTAAAGATTTATTGCAAGCATCGAATTTGAAAAAATTAGCTTTACTATTTACTGATTTATGGAAGATTTCGTATTTCTCTAAATTACCGTTATATGTGAGGTAGGCGTGGTTATTGTCCGATTTTAAAAATTTTCAGCCCTTTGGTCTACAGTACCAATATTAATAACTGTACAAAGTTTGGGAGAAATTAGTGGAGCGGTTACCAAGGTATACACATGTAATCATAGATGGGCGTGACTACGCCCATTTTCAAAAAATTTATAATGTCCTTATTTTGCGTATAAAAGTCATTGTAAATATCAATTTTGAGTGAATAAGTTTCAGTAGCTACTGAAATATCTCAGTTTTCGTGTTTCCGACAATTACCGTTATATGAGAGGTAGGCGTGGTTATTGTCTGGTTTTGCCCAATTTCAATACCATCCCATTTTCAATATAATAATATTATAAGTTATAATAATACCCTTGTGCACAAGTGCGCTCGGGTATAAAAAAGGTTTAAATTAGTCACATTTCCAAGAATATGATTTAGTCAGAAAACTGAAACCGAATTCCTGTTCGTTATCAAATTCTTGGGAAATAACAGTTGCGTTCCAAATGCTTCACGATTTGTAGGTTTTTACAGGAAACCGTTCCAGGTGACCACCTTCCATAAGGTTTATTAATGGAGAAAACAGTTGTTCCTGCAAATCCTATAAAACCTGCAAATCGTGAAGCATCTGGAACGCAACTAATGAAGTCAAGCAGCTTTGTGGGAATATCAGAAAGTGTTGGTGAATTCATCTGCTACCTTAGATCCACAATTGTTTGCCACAAAAGGCGGTATCTGATACGAGTAGCTTTAACAAAAGCTTGGGTCGCTTGTTAAAGTGAAGCCCATGATGCTTTGAACTTGGGCCTCAAAATCCACAACTATTTTTCTAAAAAAGTTCTTGAATTTTTTTAAGATAAAAAAATTACCCATAGAAATGAAATAACGCGTATTACATATCGACTGCTGAATGGAAGATCGACCTATCTCGGCAGCCAGTTCGAAAACGCCCTATCTCATAAAAACTTTTCAGGAACGCCCTACTTCAAAATTTGGCTGAAGAACGCCCTATTTCAGAATTCCTTTCAAAAACTGGCTGCCGTGATAGGTCGATATTCCACTCAGCAGACGATATATTCTTCATTAATTTAAATTTAATTTTATGTAAATTTGGTTTGTCCTGCCGGTTGTATTCATTTTGTAATCGATAACTAATTTTTTACTTTCCTTTCTTCTAGTGCTCAATGTCGCCGCCGGCAAAGCGCCAATGCAAATCTCCACCGAGGGCTCAGGTGCTCCCCAAAAGGCCATTGATGGTTCAACATCCGCATTTTTCACACCAGAAACCTGTTCACTAACCAAAGCTGAACGTTCGCCTTGGTGGTATGTGAATCTATTGGAGCCATATATGGTGCAATTGGTGCGATTGGATTTTGGAAAATCGTGTTGTGGTAAGTTTAAATAAAATAAAAAAGAAAAAAAAACTAAAATTAATATTATGTAAATGCCAGAGTAGCGTAATGTAGGTTCTCCGTCCTACTATTTGTCATTTTAATTACGAGATGGTGAAAAATCTTCCAGCTGATAAAATTCAGGGGCATAAGCTGCCCCTCGGTCATTTCGTTACCATAAATATACTATTTTTAAAATCTTGATATCTGTTCCTGCATTGATATTGCGAAAATCAGTTGTTTGCGGTTAGTTGTTACTTCTCTGCAAACTTACCAGACTGTGTGATGAATATGTGTAGCCTGTTTTCGTAAACCCATTACCAATAAATATGGTTTAAAACAAAGGACCAAAAATAACTGTTATCCGGAATTTACAAATAGAAAACCCGAATTGCCCGAATTCTGAAATTTAAGGACGTTGTTTCATAACCGTTATTAGAAGAAAAATATTATTTTATTTCGCCAATAAGAGTTATAACCCAAGGTTTACTTTTAACGTGTTTTTTTTTTTTTGATAACAGTTATATAATACTTTTCTTCTGCATATAAAAAATGTTTTTGTAATGCAAATAATTTCATGGTATAGTTTAATGTCTCTTAAATCTGCAACAAAACATTTTTTTCATTCGGACACTCACTTTCAAAGAGAAATAAAAATTTCCAAAACACTGCAAAAATTTTCATTTGTTGATCAAAAAAAACTATTTGGAATTTTGCAACAAAAATTATACAGTGTATTGATCGATGTACCATCAATATACCCTCAGGATGAAGTACCTTGTCAACAAGTTTCCCCGGAAACCCAACGTAGAAGAAAGAGTCGGGAAGGCAACAGTAGCCTTAAATTGTGGCCCCATATTGGCAAGCACTGGGGTCTCTCGCCGGAAGTAGTTGATTAGGTCTATCAAACTATAGCTAAGCCAATATTTAACCGACTTAAAAAAAAATGAGGAGGTTGTCTATTCGTCGGAGTATTTTTTTTTTCTATGTATGTTACCGCATAACTTTGGATCACGTTAAGCGATTTTCATAATTCTTTTCTGAATGGAAAGGTGGTACCGCAGACCCTTACTAATTTAGTTTATATCCAATCATTGGATCATGAATAAATTAACGGTGCTCTTAAATTTTAATATGAGAATTAAAGCCGGTTCTGTTTTTTGCTTAAAACTTACTTATACTCGTTTGGTGGAACGCACTGAGCAGGACCTTCTTGATACAGCCGCTGGATGTAGTACAAAGTGCTGCCATAATTGGATTCAGTGAAGCACTTCCAACCATTACATAGCGGGCAGAGCTGGTGTTGCGCGCGCCGCAGATACGCTGGGTGTGGTGGGCTTTAAGTTCGCCTCGAGCTTTACACACGGCAATATTTTAAAAAGCTTAAAGTGCCTACCAACTCGAACAGGCCACTGCACGACGATGTTGGGTTCGAAGGAATCTTTCACCACAGATATTCCAGTGATGGTTCTTTCAAGAATAGTGAAAGATTGTTTGACCTCCTTATCGACCCCATCGGATTACTACACTATTAAACTCATTTGGGTTTCTGGTTACAGCGAAACCGCTGGAAACTACATGGCTGTTGAACTGGTAAGATAGGGAAACCTTGAGGAAGTGCTTCTGGGTATAGTAAGTCTGGATATTCCCCTGACCTCTACTGCAGAACAGATGAATGTTTAATCGGCTAAGCGTGTGCTAGGCGAAGACCTTAGAATGCACGGTGGTTAAATTACTTTGGCCAAGTGTTGATCGGAGGCGGTCCAGTGAGCTCTTGAGACTGAGCAAGTTACATCTCTCGCTATGGATAGGAGTTCTATCTGTGTGATAGGTAGGCATACGGTAAGGCTGAGTGTCATCGATGACCCTTCCTGCACTAGGAGGATGAGATGGAATCATAGAAACACTTGCTGCTCTGGTAACTACTTTCCCCGGTAAGCCTTAGGTCGTTTAAGGATCTTCGTGGTGTTTCTATCCTCCGCCTTCTCCTTCAGGCCTTCCTGTGCCTTCTATCCATCCTCTCTAAAGGACATGCAATGGACAGCTTGACTCAATTTTTAAGTGTACCTCCGCCGCCGGAAATGGCCATGAATTCTTACCTAACCTAGATCAATCACTGCTTGCGTTCTGTTGGTGGCAGGAGTGTGTTTAATTTATACATTCTGTGTTACCAATCCAGCGGACAGAATTTAGTACAACAGCTTTTCCCAGGAGGGTTCCACTTTAGTTTCCATAGTTTTTTCTCACAACCATTTGACTCCGCTATCTGAACTTTTGCAATAATCTCCCTCTCAAAGAGAAGAAAATGGAATCGAGACTATAATGCGTTCGGCATGCTGACCTCACCCGGTCGGTGCAATATTCGATCTTATCATGATGACATCTTGAGAGCAGAACTCTCTGGGCATCAAGCATTCGACCAAACGCGGAGCTATAATGCATCCACACGTCCTTTCTTTCTCCTTAAATTGAAGGAACTTAGCTCAGGAAATTTCTCCAAATCGACAGACGCGCTCGTGTTAGTATTGCTATTGTTTAACCTTACGAAGTTCCAGAAGAATGCTGAAGCTAAAACGTAATGATCAAAACTTGCTTCATTTAGCATCTTCCCTTTGACACACTACAGACCGTTATCGGTCGACTACACCAAAATATTCGCTTGGCTTTCACTTTATTTACTTACAAACTCTTGCACGAATATAGTTTCGATCAAGCAGCCCGCCAGCTAGCCGTACAGTCAACAAAGTTAAAATTATGTGATTTTTGTTTACCTACAAAGCACTGCGACCAATGCTAAAACCATTTATAGTCAACTGCTTTGTTGTTTTTGAAGATTTTGTACCGTTTTTATTGTTTCGGCAGCAGGGAATTCGATTTTCTTCAAGCTGCGCGCGCATCGGTATTATGGCAGTGGTTGACTGTGGTCTACACAATTGTCGTCTGCGCACTGGCTGTTGCGAGTTGTAACTATCGACTTCATCGCTTTGTTATTGTTTTGTGACTCATACACACTAGTTTGTTGAGGTCGGACGCGGTGAGTGGAGGATTTTTGTATGCATACGTACGTACATATGTAAATGGGCATAGATGCTACCAAGGCGGCCACAACTGCCGGTGTCTGTGGTTGCTCCATACAATTTATGATTACTTTCACTAAGCGACGTATCTAACTGTGGTTATTGTTGTTTTTATTTTTGCTGCTGTTGGTGGAACAAAAAAACCAAAACAAACGCTTACAGTTATTGTTGGCGCAGCTAAAGTTTAGTTGAACCCACTAAGTTCGAGCACAAATGCCACACTTTACTGTTTGAGCCAGTCAGCTCAGCTGGGTCATTGAACTCCAACTGGTGGTTGCATGAAGTGTGGACATTCCTGCTTAACTCACACTACTCATTTATATATTTACGTATGTGAATTTAAATTTTTTTACACCTTCTCTTTTTCCAGGCAACAAACCGGCTACCATTGTTGTGCGCGTCGGTAATAACCGCCCTGATCTGGGCACCAATCCGATTTGCAATCGTTTCACTGGTCTACTCGAAGAGGGTCAACCACTGTTTCTGCCCTGCAACCCCCCAATGCCTGGTGCATTTGTCTCCGTGCACTTAGAGACGAATATACCAAATCAACTATCCATTTGTGAAGCCTTCGTCTACACCGATCAAGCTTTGCCCATCGAACGTTGTCCCACGTTCCGCGATCAGCCACCCGGTGCGCTGGCCTCCTACAATGGCAAGTGTTACATTTTCTATAACCGCCAGCCCCTAAACTTCCTCGATGCGCTCTCATTTTGTCGCTCTCGCGGCGGCACACTCATCAGCGAAAGCAATCCTGCGTTGCAGGGCTTCATTAGTTGGGAACTATGGCGTCGGCATCGCACTGACATTAGCTCACAATATTGGATGGGCGCTGTACGCGATGGCACAGATCGCAATACCTGGAAGTGGGTGAATGGCGAAGAGGTGGCGGTATCTTTCTGGAATCATCCGGGTGGCGATGAAGACTGCGCGCGTTTTGACGGCTCGAAGGGTTGGCTCTGGAGTGACACCAACTGCAATACGCTACTGAATTTCATTTGTCAACATCAACCAAAGACCTGCGGTCGTCCTGAGCAACCGCCAAACTCGACTATGCTGGCACTAAACGGCTTCGAAGTGGGCGCACAGATCAACTATTCCTGCGATGCTAATCATTTGCTTGTGGGTCCAGCGACACGTACGTGCTTGGAGACTGGTTTCTATAATGAATTCCCACCGGTTTGTAAATGTAAGTAAATGAGAGTTGAGCTGTGCTGTCGTCGTAGACTAAAATCATTTTCCTTTCATAGATATCGAATGTGGACTGCCTGCTTCTATTCTACATGGCTCATATGACCTCATCAATGGTACTGTGGGCTATCTCAGCGTAGTGAAATATTCATGCGCTAAGGGCTTTGAGATGATTGGACGTGCAGTACTGACCTGCGACTTCGATGAGCGCTGGAATGGCCCACCGCCGCGTTGTGAAAGTAAGTGCTGTACTCACCGTTCCGATTCTTTTATGTTTTTAAACTTTTCTTTTACACATTTAACTTAACTCTATTAGTTGTTGAGTGCGACACGCTACCAGGCAATTACTACAACACCATTATATCCGCACCGAATGGCACTTACTATGGCTCAAAGGCTGAGATCTCCTGCCCGAGCGGGTACCGGCTCGAAGGACCACATGTGCTTACCTGTTTGGCTACTGGCCAATGGAGTAGCGCTTTGCCTCGTTGCATCCGCCTCGAACCCTCTACGCCAGCACCTACGCAACCTCCACCACCTCCACCTACACAGCCACCCACATCATCACCGACTGCACCATCAACCACTTCTTACAGGCCACGGCTTACCTCAACTTCAAGACAGCCATCTTACAAACCCACCATCAGTACTACACAAACGACAAGTACCACACAGCAGCTTGATGCTGTTGGCGGCGGTAAGTACAAAGCAGATTTTGTGCGAAAATCTTTATCTCCAGCTTAAAACCTTTTTTCACGGCAGATTCCGATGAGGAAGTCACTTATATTGTGCCCGGCACTGTGCGTGAGGAATTCCCGCCACGTCGGCCTCTTCGTCCGGTCACTGTGTCTAAGCGCCCTAGCACCACGCCGGCCTACTTCTCGCCTACCACTTCTACCACCACCAGCACGACACCGCGACCACGTATTTACGCTCCTGTGGAGTCTACCACTCGCAACACTCAGAATATTATACTTAATGCGCATCCACAAGATAATGAGATTACGGACAGCGTTAATATTCGACATAACCAGTCGCCGAATGTCAATATTCCATACGCTGTGGATAATGTCGATCGCAAGGAAACCAAGGAGGCTAAACTCAATTTGGGCGCCATTGTCGCTTTGGGCGCATTCGGCGGTTTCGTTTTTCTAGCTGCGGTCATTACGACCATCATCATTTTGGTGAGAAGGTGAGTGGCACTTCTTTTTCTACCTTTCGTATCTTTGTGAATTGCGTTTTTAAGAATGAAGAGGGGTCGCAGTGTATAGTAGTACTGAGCTTTAGAGAGAATCTTGAGCATTCATATGGCTGCGAACCCTCTTATTTATATGTAAATATTAAAATTAGTTACTAAACTGAGAATTTAGTATAAAATCCATTATTTACAGAGTTGTTTTGCACTACAGTAACATTTGTTGCAATTTAACAGAAAATATTTATATACATTATATAGTGTAGGCTTCTCATAGTCTGAGCAAAGCGAATTCCCTAAGACCCGATTCAAAATTAGTTAGTGAGCTAGGAGAGCTACCCACCGGTGAAGATAAGTGTATTCAACTTTATTACCTGTACTGTAGTAGCTACCTTAGCCGCGTAGTTAGAGGTGCGCTTTGCCATTCGACAGGCCACAAGTTAGGTGCCTTGCAATGGAACTTCCAATTGAAAGAACAAATTATTCAAATAGCGGTGACTCCGCGGCTAGCGATGACAAAAAAACCGGGTGTATTACGGCCATTGACTGAAGTAGAAGCTTGGGTTTAGCATGAGCCTTCGTCCATAATTGCCTCCAATTTGGCATCTGCAGAACGTTGAAAGCCTCACCTCGCGCTCCTTATTGGTTGTGTCAAAATCAGCACTTTTACAATGTCGGAACCAGTACTCACATCGTACATACACAAGTATCGTGATTGCCCACAATCGACCATAACCTCAACTTCAAAGAAGTGTTTTTTCGATTTTCAACCGCAATCCGACCGTGGATGAAACATGGATCCGTCACAAGCAACGAAGACCAATTAACAGTCAAATCAGCTGTATTCTCTAGAGGAGCGTTCACCAAATAAGGTCAAAGTAGGTCTGTCGGCCAACAAAGTCATGGCGACCTTAGAAAAGATAAAACGATTAGCCCTGATGATAAATTAAATTTTTGTTTCATTCATAAAAACGACCGCACTTTACGAAGAAAAAAATGCTTTTCTACAAGGACAATGCATAGCCCCAGTTACCATTGCGCGAATTCATAACTAGGGCTGCGAGCTGCTACATAATTCTCTCCGACTAGTTCACGTTTCAAAAACGTCACTAGAGTAAAATTCGAATTTTCAAAATCTAGAGAAAGCGTATATTTGGAGAGATTAAATTCATAGCCGAAACACTCTGCTGGATTTATTGAGCTGAAATCAGACTCTGTTGAGAAATTAAAAAATTTCTTGTCGAAAAAATTATGATTTAAATAAAGTATCACTGATTTGTCAAACTGACTTTTCTTTAGTCTATGACAGTATTAGTTAAATGCCTCGACGACTACTCTGGCAACACAGGATGTATGTACATATACAAATGCTCCATGATTTTCTGGTATAATTCGGGCTGTATGTAATTTGTAAGGTATATTATTTCGAGCTTCAGCTCTGGGGTGCTCTCTTGCTTATTGGCACAGACTGTACTTTTTTCGTATCCCCAGAAAAAGAAGCTCAATCGCAAGATCTCGGCGGCGTTTTGACCTCCTTCTTACGTGAGATAATTCACCCTGGTAACTTCGTTCACAATGGAGCTATTGTTTCATGTGCTGTGTACCAAGTGGCACCGTCCTGTTGAAACCACATATTGTCAAAGTCCATGTCATCAAATTTAGGCCATACAAAGTTAATTATCATATCACGATAACGTGCATTCACCACGAAATCGTTGCCGACATCATTTTCGAATAAGTGTGGTCCAATGACTCCTCAACCCAAAAACTAATGTCTCATTGTGAGTGCAAAGTTTTTTCTTAAAGGATATGTAGATTTTCAGTACCCAAATTCAGCACTTTTGCTTGTTAACACATCGCTCATGATGACGGTTGGTTTCTTTTTAACCGACTTATAAAGAAAGAGATTATCAATTCGTCGGAATATTTTTTTTTATGTATCTTACCCTATAGCTTTGGACCACGTTGACCAATGTCTTTTTTTTATAGGAAAGTTGTTGCTTGAGAGGTGTTTCCATACTAATTTGGTTTAAATCGCATCATTGGATCGTGAAGAAATTAACGATATTCTTAATTTTTTATATGAGAATTGAATTCGGTTTTTTTTCTTAAAAATTATTTGTTTTTTAATCGGTATGGACTTCTTGTTCTTCAATTTCTATGTCAATTGAATTTTTTTAGGTGTGTAAACATAGGTTTTTTGTTAAAATCCGCTGAACGCTGATGTTTTATTTTTGAGAAGTTAGCTCTCGGTCCAGTGAGCCCCTAGCACATATGCGCATGGTGAGAACCCACTTACTGAAACCACCATATGAGCCCTGCGAAACTGAGAAGTTGCCACATTCCTATTTTGGCTATGTCAGTTAAACCTGAACCCATGAAATTGCCTATTCTTCTACAGGGTGTGGGCAACTTGCAAAGCTGTTATTCATTTCTGCAACTTCTACAGAAGTCGTAATGGGGCATCCCTAACTCTTCGTGTGCCTTCCGATGGCAACATAGCTTATAAGAAGACCCATGTGGCTAAGTCCCCTCTGAAGACCTTTCGGTCGTTTCTCGTTCCACGTGGCACGTATGCAGTTGCATGGCTAAACTCCCCCAAGACTACGAAAGTTGAACGGATGTGCCCTCACTCGCAGTTATATTTAGCAGAAATTAGAGAAAATAGTTCTAAGCTAAGTTTCTAGTGCTTTTGAAATACTATCAAACCGGCGGGCGGCGGTATACCTTCTCAGCAGTTTTGCATCAACTGGAGTTCTATTGATATTACCACAGCAAATACAGATTGTAAAAAAACGCATTTAAATCAGGGACCGAAAACAAAGGTATGATTGAAACTGAATGTCGTTATCGTAGTTCTGTTCAAATAAAACAAAACGGGAATAAAAGTCTAAGAAACATTCTCTCGAAAAACAAGAACTAAAGTCACAGAAACTTTCTGACAGAGAACAAATCCTCTCTGAACTATTCGCGAGGAGTGGAAGCGAAAACAATATTTTTGTCATAGCGCTGCATTGGTTTGAAATGTTTGAATATTTACACTAATCAAAAATGCACTGAAAGATAATTGTGCAAATTAAGTAAGACTTAAACCACAAACTTTTTTTTTTGGGTTTGGGAATTCTGCAGTGCGACTCATGCAGAGCTATCTGGTTGGCAGAGCTCAGCGTGTTAGAATCGGCTCTCAATCATCTACGCTAAAACCACTACTTGCTGGCGTCCCACAAGGTTCAATATTGGGACCGTTATTGTTTAGTTTATTCATAAATGACATTTTTTATATTTGCCAGCATGTGGACATGCATGCATATGCTGATGATGTACAGCTCTATCTTTCAGCAAATTTCGAGAATGTAGATGAACTTTGTTTTAAGTTTAACAATGACTTAGCATCCATCTCTTCCTGGGCGTTGAGAAATGACCTCCGCCTTAATAGTGAAAAATCATATGTGCTACCTATTTCTAAGAAACACAACAACTCGGATGTTCCGCAACTATTTATTGCCGGTAGTTGTCTCAAATTTGTGTCAAAGGTGTCAAATCTTGGCTTTATTATTAACTCTAGCCTTTCATGTGACGATCACGTAAACTCTGTTGTCAGCAAAGTGTACAGCATTTTAAGAAATTTGAGAATTACTGCCGCCTACACTCCGGTTGACGTTAGGAAAAAACTTGCGTTACAGTTAATGTTACCGATCATATGCTATCCCGTACTTGTCTACAGCAAATTGAATTCTCAATCTGCCCATAAAATTGATGTAGTGTTTAACCACATAACACGCTACGTATTTGGATTGGCGAAATATGACTATATCTCTGGGTGGAGGTCGCGTTTGTTGGGTTGTGAAATCTCCGAGTATTGGAAAGCCAGGAATTGTATATTTCTATGTCGACTTTTGCTAGATAATGCTCCTAGCTATCTCTACAATAAACTAATTTTCGCTAAATCAGCTCGAATAAACGATAGTACCATCATTGAATTATCTAGCCTTTGTAAGGCTATTCTTTGTCAATGCTATTCGTATCTGGAATCCCTACCTCCGTTCGGAGTGGATTAAATAAAAGCAACTTTAAGAACACCATCTATACGTACTTTCGCTGAACCAAATATTTATTTATTTTCTGTGAGTCTGGGCTTCGCTATCTAAATGTTTAACTTTCTCTTGTCATCTGTGTTGATCTTTGCTACATATGTATAATGTGATATATATTTTATTTTATTTTTGTTTTAAGTAATCTGTATGTATTTTGTTTTACTGGTATTTTTAATCTCTGTTTTGTACTATAAAAGATCTATAATGCTTTTTCTCTTTATAAATGAAATGAAATGAAATGGAAAAAATGAAAAATTGTTCCATAAATGGACAATTCATCCTAAAGATCAACGAGCTGGAAATTGAAATAATCAAGCTTTCACTGAAACGACGGGACGTTTTGTCGGTCCCGGATTTAAATCCTTTTCATGCTACTCAAAATTACTTTTTTCTGAGAAAATCTATAGTTACTATTTAACATTTTAAAAAATTGATAAGTTAATACTTTCATTTGACGCCATTCAATCGATATAACCCTAAATTATACAGTTCTAACCAGTTTTGCTACACCAGCAATACTACTCTTCTACTGCTGTTACCCTGTATCATACACTTTGTTTGTTGTTTCAATAGTTTTCAAACGCCACCTAATTAGTAGATATGCCACTTTTCATAAACCCTAAGTAATTTTTACGCTACTAATGCTCACATTTACAAATTTCGAAATCCCAAAAAACCATTAAACTATATCCATACAAATTAAGTTTTATTCCTCTGCTAAAACAATTTTTTCGCATTCATGCGTTTGTAATCTCGTATTGTTGTTGTTGTATATTGTTGTCATTCATTTAGCACCTCGAACAGCAGGCGGCACAATGCAAAATGTTATTGTGTCAACCATATCCACAGGTCACGACTACCATTCCCTCCACCCATCACCAATCGTAATTCCACCACCCAATACAGCAACGCCTCAATGCATGGGGTGCATATTTCGCGTTCCGGCTATATCAGTCCAACGCGACTTTACGATCAACACAGTAGCATCAGCTCATCGACACGCTACGGTGGTCCACCCTCGCTGTGGTACAGTGTCTTGGCGCTGCCCTTCGACGATCAGAAGTTAGGACGGCGCGAGTTAAACAGCTACGGACGGGGTTTTACGGCGCGTGCAGGCTTCTTTAGCAGTTATCCGACGCTAGAAAAAGAGGAGGAGAGGAAGGCGAATGTGAAGCAAACGCCAAAAACAATTGCGACAGTGGATGAAAATGATAGCGACAAATATGCGTAGAAGTGAGAAGAAGAAAAAGGGCGAAATCCAATAAGAACTAAGAGAATTCAATACGAAGAGACGAATGCACCGAGATTAAAAATATACATATATAATATATAAGTTTATATTATTAAGGAATATCGATTGCAGACGAATCGAGTTAATGTGCCAAAGAGTTAAAAACTAAAATACTCTACTTTTATAAAATAAAAAGCAACAAGATAACGAAACGAATTTTTTAAGTACAACGCAAAGGCCATATTTTTTATCGAAACAGAAAAAACTAACAGAACAGAACAGAAAGAATGAGAAGCAACCTTTTTTGCATCTTACCAGCGTACAACAGACATGTAAGCCACATACATATGTACTTCAACAATTACTTACATACACCATGCAATATGTATCGTTGATTCACTAAGGAACAATACTATCATGCAACTGGGGGAAATTTTAGAACTAAAATAATATATACTTATATATGAATTCATATTAAGCAAATGCAATGCTGCCGCCTTGCTGTTTTGTCTGTGCACGCCACCAAACCGAAACAAATCCGTAATTAATCAAAGCCATAGCAGCACTTAATCCAGTCACCCACTCATCCATGCAAACGTACAACAAAAAAAAAAAACATTTGTAGAATTATTAAGTTTCTAATAGCACGTAATTTGTACCCTTATTGTAATTTTTCACCTATAAGTACCTATGAGTGTATGTGTGTATATTTATTGTGGAAGAGGACAACCAATCATGGAAAGCGGTACGAGTACGCAACAGTCAAACACTTAATCCCAAAGCCATTGGTTTTTTGAACATACGCACGCCACAACCATCCACAAAACAGTCACATTTCACATTATTCATAAATGTCGGTTTTTTTTGCTTTTTTCATGTGTTTTCTAAAACACAAAAAAAAAGACAAACACTTTCACTCATTCCTGTATGTATGTACATATGTGTCTAACATTGTAATGGTTTTATTAGAAATCTGGTAACCACAGCACGTCCTGTATGAATATCGTATTTTTATTTGTGTTTTTTTATTCTGAACTTGTGGAGCGTTACTAATTTCTACTCTCTCTCTCTCTCTCTCTCTCTGTTTCTCTCTTGTACTTGACTCAAACAGAAATCGCACTACCCAACACTATCGCCATCGCGCCTCACCCGACTGCAATACAGTGGCCTCATTCGATAGCTCTACTTCTGGCTCACGTAACGGTTTGAATCGGTAAGTACCCAGTTAGGTACATACTTATTTAGTTGAAATTTGTCTGCTTTATAAATACAGTCCAGCTATAACTTCACCGATTAATTTGTAAAAATCCTCTATTATGCATTTGATTGTTGGAGAGAAAGCTTTGTTAAAGTTAATTTTCCGTTCCTTTGCAGTTACTATCGACAAGCTTGGGAAAATCTGCATGAATCTGCTTCGAAGAGTAGCACTCAACATGCTTTACGCCGCAAGGATACACTCGATGCCCCCAACTCGATGCATTCACGTGATAATTTGCGTGAGAATATGCAGCGTTCCAGGGAGAATCTCGATCGGTGAGTATATGTAAATTGAGTTACACTTTCTGAGGGAGATACATAAATCTAGGGATAACAAGTCCAAAAATGGAGCACTATGTAGATGGCTATTTTTCTTTTTTGTCGCTGTAACCGCCTAAGCGATTTTGGCCGAGTCCAAAATAGCACGCCAGTCGTTTCTCTTGTGTTGGAAATTATTTTGGAAATACACAGTGAAGCGAAGTCCTTCTCCATCTGGTCTTTCCAACGCAGAGAAGGGCTTCCTCTTCCTCTATTACCAGCATCGTTAAGTCGTCTGCGCCAACGCGCAATGGCCTATAGATCTTGCACCATACACCAGCACAGGCATGTTAAGTAACTTATAGATTGTGATTTCTGTACGACGAGAGAGGACTTTACTTTTCAGTCTACTACTCAGTCCAAAGTAGCGCCCGTTGGCAAGAGAGAATTTAAAGTAGTCAGACATAGCGGCGTATAGGCAACTCCTTTTAGTGCTGTCGAAAGCGGTTTTAAAATCGACAAATAGACCGAATGTGTCGATCCTATTCTCGCGAGTCTTTTCCACGATTTGGCGTTTAGTGAATACCTGGCCTATGCTGGATGTATAAAGCCACTCTGATAAGGCCCAATCAGTTCGTTGACGGTGGGTTTCAGTCCTTCAAACAATGCCCTAGATAATACCTTGTAACCTATGATTAAAAGGCTGATCCCGCGGTAGTTGGCTCGTCTGGGGGAGTCGCCTTTATTGTGGATTTGGCAGAGCAGACATAAATTCATGATGCATGCACCTTATCAACTCCTCACTGCCGTACTTGAATAGTTCGGCAGGCAGGATGTGAGTTCCAGCAGCTTTGAGTTTTTCGGGGGGTTTTCCTGTCGGCAAGCATTTCAAGATCTTCACACGGAAAATACGGCTCGCTTCCCTCTTCAGTTCTCTGTAACGGATCGCATCGTGGCCCTGTAGGCGGCATCTTTTTTCTCCGCAAATTCTTGACACTCCTCATCGTACCAGTTGTTCTTTCTTGTCTTGTTTGGCGCTGTAACCGCCTAAGTGTTTGTTGTTCTTTCGGGCTGGCTGAAATCCGACTAATTCTTCGGCGGCGGTACTTAATGAGCGGGGAATGTGGGTCCACTGGTGGCGTATTTCGGTTTGTCGAATAGTGCTCTCAGAGAGGAGGGTCAGATTCGAGTGGCGAATAAGTTGGCCGTCTGTTGTGATTGCAGCCTTCCGACTTTAAGGTTAAATTAGTGGTGACATAATCATAACCATACAAAACAGCTCTCCAACCAACCTTATGTCGAACACTGTATTCGATTAGTGGTGCCACACTGTAACGCCATAGCTACAACCATAGACACCGACCCCAACAGCTGATATCTGAAGGGCGAGTAATAACGTGTTTCCAGACGTTCAAAAATATATATGGTTCACAGCCAACGGTATATCATAAGTCGCGAATAAATATTAACCATATTTCAACTCACCTAGTCTTTTGAAAGACTAATGTCTTTCGTGAGAAAAAGTGTCGATTCTGGCAACTATCTTGAAAGCTCTTTTATGTCTTTCGAAAAACTAATTGAACGGTCTTCTAACGAGGAAGTCCTAGCGTTACTCTGTTAAAAATTAGACTCAATAAAAAATATAAATATATTTCTTTTTAAGAAAATATAAACTAAAAATTCATGAAAATTAAATAAAAAAATAAAACAGATTACATAGAAAAAATTTCAAATGAAGAAGTTGGACAAACTAAATTAAATAGAAAACATGCTATCCTTTTGAAAAACAATAAAAAATAAAAAAATAAAAATAAAAAAAAAAGGTTAAGTTAAAAAAAAAAATGTTCGTAAAACTTAAATTTAATAAAAAAAAACGCTTTTTAAGAGAAAGTTAAATTGACAAAAGAAATAATTAATTTAAATTAAAAAACACAAAAAACTTACTTATAAAAATTTTATGAAATCAAATTTTATTTTTCTAAACAATAAAATTCACAAATTAAAAAACAATACCAAAAATTCACTTAAAAATTAAAAAATAAAAATAATTAAATGTAAGTACTAAAATAAGTTTCTAAAAATTCAATTAAAGTAGATATATATTTACCTTATTAAAACAATAAAATTTAATAATGAAAAAGAATTAAAACTTTATTTAAATTAAATAAAAGAATCCACTGCCCGAGGATTCAAACCCCGGATATCTCGAACAACACGACAATACTTTGCTCAGTCGGTCATTGCGACTTTTGGAGCAGCGCGTGCAAAATGTACATATGCATGTATACATGTGCATTAGGGTGGTCCAAAAATGCATGTGAAACAGTAAAGTTGAAATTTTTATTTTTAATAAAAAATCATTAGTATTAAAAAATGGTTAAATAAACAATTGGCTATGTTTATTGGAAGTCTCCTGAAGAGAACCAGAGTATTCCGATCGAAAAATATTGATTTTCAAGAACTCTATACCATTTCTACGAAAGTGGTTTTTTCCATATAAAATACATCGAAAACTTTGAGCGCTTTGAGCGATCTCCTCTAAATATTTTTTGATTTGAAAGTAAAAATTTAAGGCTATATCTTTTTCGGTATAGAACAATCCTAGGGGTGAGAGCATTACTTACTTTACTTATTCATCTCCATTTAACATGCTCAAGAGATGCCGGTCCAAAGAGCATTTCACCAGGAAAGTTGGCATGGGGCCTTTTTATTGTAAGACTTTAGTGGCAGAATAAACAAAATCTTTCAAACTTTGTCTTACAAAAGACTTGCAATCACCTATAAGTGTAGCACTAGAAGTCAGGAAAGGTACACCTACCCTCTGCTTACTGGGCTACATCACCATTTTAGCAAATTCATTTGAAACCGAGATATATTTTAAGCCTTACACGACGAATTTCAATCGCGCCGAGCGTGTGTCTGCCGTTTGTCTAAAGGAATATGTCGATATTTATCTTACTTACATACAACTAAATACAATGATCCGAATGCATTCATATATATTTACATACATTGTTTTCTACATTTCAGTGTCGGCCGTGAGAACTATGGCATGCGCGAGAATTCCGAAATGGTCGTTTCTGATGTGTGTCTAAAAGGTAACAAGCTTAAATTTAATTACTTCAGTTTATCTGAACTAAAACTTTTTCCTTTACTCGAAAACGTGCATAGGTGAAAAGAAACGCCATCATCACCACCATCACAAGAGCAGCACACGCAATGGCGAATATCGAGATCAATCAGCTGGCAGACGAGAACATCACAGACACAGCGGCGGACATTATTGACCAACCATGGTGATAACCATAAATGTGGAGCAATAAGCCAATGCAAGCATATGTTAACATACTTATCTATTTAGCTACAAAGAAGCGAAGCAGAAAACAAAAAAAAAACTACATCTTTTCTTAAACAGAAGGAACAACGAACAGCGTTATTTTGATTATAAGTTATTGCGAGTAAATTTATTGTTAATATACCGTTTTGTTGTGTGCAATTTAAACTAAGTAATTTTAGTGCAAATACAAAAAAAAATTATAATAATTGCGCTAATTTATATTAGTAACATAAAAGTATGTAAAGCAAAACAAGCAGTCAGTCAGTAGGTTACCCCCCCTTCCAATGTCTCGTCAAAAGTTAGAAGCTTACATTATTCATATTCGCAATGGCGCAGCGTATTGCAGTTGAAACATAGCAGAATAACTGTATTTTTTTTAGTTGGAGTAGAGCTTTTATTTATAGCTAGTTCTTTTATTTTTCATTTTGTTTTAAAATATTTAGTTCAAGTTTAATTAGTTTTAATCTGTGCACAAAATGAAAAACAAGCAAATGCGAACAAAGTGAAATTTCCATGCGTCTTCCTTAACAGTATTTCCTCGCTCCTCATACGCGCTAATTCAATCTTTATGCAGCAATTTCTTTTTTGCAATATTTATTTTCTACAAATTATGAGTACCTTGGTAGAGCTTAATATTCGTACGTTTAGGCTAAATCGATTTATTCATAGTACTCAAACAACAACAAAAAAAAAAACAAAAACAAACAAAGAATTTATAACTTTCTTACATCGAAAATGTTTATATCCCCATCTGAATTTACTATTTATTGACATGTATCCCAACAAACTTCAAGCACACACCATGCATTTAGTTGTTAGCGAAATAGTTATTTTATAATTTTAAATATACATACATACATATACATATATTTGTTAATTAGTGTGCCATTTCCGGCAACTTACACATTAATTATAAAGCGCTATACTTATAAAAATATGCCTACTTTTATATGCATACATACACAATCGTAGATGGTAATGTACTTAATTGCAAAACGAAACTGCATTTGTATACATACGTATGTATCCACTCACATACCTACAAATATCCTTTGTATACAAGTAAGTTTATTATGAGAATGCATTTGTCAATAGTAATTCTATTTTTCTTTTTGTTTTATGTAAAAAAAATAATAATCTGTATGTAAGACGTAAATTTAAATATCCAAATTTATGTAAATAGTTTAATAATAAATTATACAAAATAAATATATAAAAGGTACAATCTTTTTATTCAAAACTAGCTTGTTTCGCTTGCGGCCCCGCCCACCTAATATACGGTTTAATAATATGCCATCAAATTTTACAGCTACACCTCAGTGTGTTATACCTAGCGCTCGTACATTTTTACGGAAAATTTTCTAGGTGAAAATGTCTACAAAATACTTTTGAATTTTTATATATTTTTTTGCTGGCTGCTCACAGTGTTTCGACTATATGGAGGCAGGGGGAAAAGTCATGACGAAGCCGAACATTAAATACCAGGCGCAAGTATTAAATATAGGTTTTCCACCTTTCCGAAAACTACCGTTACATGTTAATCAGGCGTGGTTTTACCTCTATTTCAAACATCTTGGCTAGTATGTTCAGTTAGACTTAATGAAATAAAGTTATATAGTTATAAGTGGGCGCTACCACGCCCATTTTCCGAAATTCCGCAATAATCTTATTTATTTTCAAGAGATTGTTGTGAGTATCAATTTTGAGTAAATTAGCGTCCTCAAATTTCGAAATATCAAGGTTTCCGCATTTCTGAAATTTACCGTTATATGAAAAGTAGGTGCAATTTAAGTTCGATTTCAAAAATTTGCAACGTTTTGCTTTTATGTGCCACGTCCAAATTCATGGAACGGCTACCGAGACACACATATTTGGACATAAGTAGGCAGTGCCACGCCCATTTTCCAATTTTTTTTTTATTTCTTGCTAAAATTTTACTTCAAAAATCAATTTTAAATAGACTCGCTTTAGTATTTACTGTTTTATCGAAGATTTCTTATTTCTCTAAATTATCGTTGTATGGGATGTGGATGTTGTCCAATTTTAAAAATTTTTGCGGGTTGGTATGTTTTTACAGGACCGACAATTGTGCCCAGTTTAGAAGAAATTGGTGAAGAGGTTGCCGAGATATACATATCTAATCATAAGTGGGCGGGGCTACGCCCATTTTCCTAAAATGTTTAAATATTTTTATTTTCCGCCTAAATATCAGTGCAAATATTAATTTTGAGTGAATAAGCTTCAGCACTGGTATTCTGCTGGAGATTTTTAGCGATCAAAATTAGCGATAGCGAATGTTGGAATCCGGCTGCAGCAGTTGCTAATCGCAGTTTTCGTTTTTATGAAAACTACCTCTCACAGACGTGGATATAGTCCGATATCGCCCTTTTTAAATACCATCCACGTTAAGATATCTCAATTTTTACTCGAGCTATCGTCTGCATAGATGGATGGACAGATAGTTGCTATTTCGCAATAAAGCTTTCCTAGCTTGACTCGTTTGATATTCACATTTCAATAAAATATTTGTCCATTAAATTGATTTTAACTCTTTGAGCACCTTCTTCAAGAATATTTTCAAAATAAATCATTGTTTAACTCCGTTCATTTGACTCGCACATTGTTGTAATATATCTTTTGATTTATTAATTTATTGAATAACTCTCTCCAAGAAACATGATTTATGTTATGATGGTAGCCTATCTGTATGCCGAGCTTATTTGAAATACGTTTAGCCGTTTAAGCGAAAAAGTGCAACAAACGTACTCAGTCACTCAAACACTCCCTCACTCACTTACTCGAAAACTTTCACATGTACATATACTCGTAATATTAAATAGTAGAAAAACATTAAGTAGGATGAAAAAAACACTAATTAAAACCGCCGTCTGTTTCACGGAGGTAGTTTATTCGACTCCTGCATTTCTCATTGTTTAGGCGCGTCTGCTAACACCAGGCGCCTAAATACATGCTATGTACTGCTGCATGTGCAAAAATTTCCTTTATGCAATTTAGGAAATTTTTGAACATGCACTTCTCAACTGGCATGTAATTGAACTTTCTTAAGTTTTAATTAGATGGCTTACAACCATGCAGGGGTGGTAAACGAACTTTACCATTGGCCACAGTGCCTACCCACCATTTTTGAACCAATAAATATTTTTTTTACTGAGTTATTCACTCATACTACACCAAGTACAACTCAGCTGCGTATGAGCATAAGGGGATATGCAGATTTTATGCAATTCTCCTCAAATATCTCCTCGCTAAACTTATTAACGTAATAAGTCGCTATCATTCCCAAACGTGGTCACTGCTCAACCAGCTGCCAGCATTAACTACACCCCCGGAGTAATCTTGCACTCGGTAGAAAGCTACGGTTTACAAGCCAAATAGTGGCTCTGTATGAGTGCAGGCCGAAGTGGTACATTTATGGTAACTATTAGCTGGGCGAGCCTACCCGGCTACTGCAGTTGGATCATAACTAAATTAATGGTGAACGAGCAACAACATGTGCTGCCGTCACATCTCTATCTCCCTCAGGTCAAGCTTATGTACGTCTTAGTTGACTTATAGTGCGGAACAACCATACAGGGGCAAACCAAATAAACAAATGCACGCACAAAAGGGAGGTGACAAAAGTTTAGCAACCTGTTGACTCAGTCGGACTAGGGGGTCGCTGGTGGAGGAAACAACAGCACTAGGCATAGTTACTGTACGGCGACCAGACTGTTAAATTGACAACAAGACAATATGAATATTAGTGTGGCCAAAAAATTTGGGAAAAATTACTGAATATCTAGGTACGCCCAAAAATTCTTAATATTTAAGGACAGAACGGGATTAAGCAAATAAAAGTAACAGAAACAAAACCTTATTTGTTGGTGCACCCGAGGCGAGATCAAACCAAAAGGTTACGAACCCACTCTCACTCTTGCCCGAGCCGCCGGGGATATCTTTAACCGCCAAGTGACTGGGTTCTGGCTACGGGATGCTAAATTGAAGAGATAGGGAACACAACACGGCAACAACTGCCGACAACAGTACGTCCAAACGGGGACAACGAGACGTGTGTTTACCACGGGTTGCTCCTGCGGACTTATTACCCCAAAGCCCGGTATCGAAACAATAACTCTTTTCGCCTCGCCGAGGGGCCACTCCTGGGCTGACCTGTCCAACCACAGACAAAGTGCCTCTCCTGGTGCTTATGGAAATCGTTGCACTTTCGAAAATCTTTGTTTTTCTTGCTTTTTACACTCGCCTCTTTTCCTCTGTTAATGCTTCTGCCCCCTCGCGCAGCTACGAGTTCGGCCGCCACAACGGCGCATACAAATAAACACCATGGACTTTCCCATTGCCATCATTCGGCGGACTCAAAACGGCCGCAACAAGAGTAAAAAGTGTCGCCCTTTTGTGTTTTTAACCGACTTCCAAAAAAGGGGGAGCTTATCAGTTCAACGGAATATTATTTTTTTTATGTATGTTAACGCATAACTTTGGACCACCACCAACCGAGTTCGATAATTCTTTTTGCATCGGAAAGGTAGTGTCTCACAGGTGGTCCCATATTAATCAGGTTTAGATCCGATCATTGGATCATGAAATATATATATATATTGTTTTTTTAAAGTCGGTTTTTTTTGCTAAAAATTTGTAAAATATTAGGTATTCTCCAAATCTTGCAAAGCCATTGCACGTAGCACGGATTGCATGGATTGCATAACTTGCAAACACACAACAACAAAATACATGGGAAATAACATTTCCTATCGCTGCAAAATATGCAACGTCGAAATCCATAGGGCTATTCGCGATCCGGTGCAAATGGCCTAGCATCATTGCAATGCAAATTTGTATTGCAAATTATTTGCAATACACAAACAAAATACACGCATTTGCATTTGTCATGGCTTGACAAATTTGCAATACCTAAAATCCATAGCATAAAAATGCTATGCATTGCATTCATAAACAAAACCAAAGCTGATGCACAAAAATTGTTTTGCAAAAGCTTTACCATGACAGTTTAATAAAGGCCGCTCACAATCCATGGCATATTTCTGCAATTGCATAAATTTGTCAGCTCTTATGCACCGAATCGCGAATAGCCCTCATGTATATATTTTGCAAAATAGCATAGCAAGATAAATGCGACCCTGTGCTAGTTGTTTTGTTGTTGGAATTGCTCAATATTTCTCTGGTTCCTCTCATCTCGCTCACTTCATTTTTTTTTCTGTCTCTTGTTAATGTATTTGATACATAATTTCACTGCTTCCCAGTGGGAACTAGGAGCACGTAATAATACCTTATTAGCAACTTACTCTTCACCTGGCAGTCATTACCATTTCCCTGCCGAACGTCCCTTACTTTTGCAAAGGCATGGCCGCCTTATGTAAGTAGGAATTTAGAATGTACATTTGGTATCAGACATACTTCTGAGCCGCTTTACAAAGTAAGTTACGTGTAATGCAGAGCAGTCGCTCGGAGTAGTTCGGTGCTTGGAAATAACTTCGGCTGCACGTTATTTTGCAACTGACAACGTAATGTGTCTTCGGAGGTGTTCATTTTGCCCTTTACCAGTAGATGACATTGGCCATGATGACAATTTTGGTACTAAAAACTGAAAGAAAACATGGCTTACCTCGCAAGGTGCTTACCTATTTTCCCAGTGGGTTGCTACCCATGCATGCTACCACTTTTCAATGGGGTGCTCTCGTACTCTTCGAAATTTGGAATAGTATTTTTGCATTTCATGCAATCCGTGCATTGTGCAAGACTTCGAGAACACCCCTATTGTAAATTATTGTAAAATATTGTAAACAATTCTAAAATATACCCCTGTAAATATTTACATTATTTACAACAATTATTTACATTATTTACAAGCACAACCCTGCTTTAAGCTGAGCTTTAATTAATACAACTAACTGCCGTTAGTTAGTCGGCCGCTGTGGTGCAGTGGTAAGCAGTGCGCGCTTCTACTCCACAACGCCTCGGTTCAAGCCCTGATCAAGAAAAATCGCAAAAAAATATAGAAAAAAGGTTTTTTTCCTAACAGCGGTCGTCCCTCGGCAGGCAATGGCAAACCTACGAGTGTATTTCTGCCATGAAAAACAGCTTCTCATAAAAATACACTCGCCGTTCGGAATCGGCGTAAAACTGTAGGTCCCTCCGCCTTGTGTGACAACATCAAGGTGCACGCCACAAATCGGAGGAGAAGCTCGGCCAAACAGTAACATATGTGCAAGCGACAGTCTATTATTATTAAGTGCCGTTATAATGTCAATTGCATCGTTCGGGACTTTACCACTTATTTCATTTCTGCTTCGAATCTTTCGCAGACGAACAATATATTTTTCGCACGAATCGGTGAAGATAGCTCCTGTAACTTCCATGCTCGCTTAAAAATTTAATAAGATTGTAATATACTTCACGATGCTTCCATGAAATCTATCCTGTGTTAAATGTTTGCCTTTAAAAAAAAGGGTCCCACCGATGCTGCCATATTTGAAGTGATGCAACTCTCTCTCCTTCCAGCATTCTTCCTTCTCTTTCACCCTTTTCCTACTTTCTGAACCCAGCTCTCCTTTTTTCATCACCTTTAATGTTACCATTGGCAGAATACCGATTGTTTATGCTTATGTCTTGTGTGGTTTCTTATAGAGCTGCCCACATTTAGGAGCATGCTCAGCAAAGGGGCTTCGAGACTTTTTGAGTAACATACTTGCAAAAGCTAAGTACTTAACGTGCCGACTTGACCTTAAAATCTGCAACCTCTAGTTTTTCCGGCTCACAACCGACACCGTTTCTCTTTTTTTCCTCCGCTACCGATAGAAATAAAACTTCGTAAAACACCACTTTACAAAGCACATGCGCTGTGTTTTACTAAAGAATGCAATACCTGAGCTAGCTTTCAAGGACTTCCAAACTTTTGCTGCAACTAACCGTATTAAAGGCTTCGATCCGCCCTTGCACTCTTTGTCTTTTATAGTTTTTCCGAGTCGATGATACCACTAGGTTTAGCGCAAGTTGGTTTTGTGACAATCCGTTCTCAGTGAAATGGCTCAACTTAGCAGAAAGTAGTAAAAGTTTTTCCATGGTATCTAAAAGATAGATAGAGTGATAGGATCCAACGGCTTCGATGATTGTGGTAATTCTAGTACTCGTTTTTTTGCCACTTCTCATTCCATGATTGCTCATAGGGGCTACAAGTACGCTGAACTTCTGTTGCACCCTATCATAAATGGCAGATGGTATTGCTAAAAAACGGACTGGTCACTTCATGGTAAAAACTCGTAACTGTGATCGTCTCAGATTACTTTTTTGCTGTGAATATGATGTATAGCGCTTTAAACATTTATTCCACTCTTGCCACACCTTCCTTACGATTTGGAGGCTTTTAAAAGCAAAGATTGAGAGCCGAACACCAAAGTTTTTTGACATCGCTTCCGCCGGATTTTACCTATTCGCGAGAATATTGATTTTCCAGCAGAAAGTCACGGCTTAGAATTAACGATACTCTAGCTTTGTTAAGGAATTTATGTACACTCAACACGCAATCGGTCTACCATCCTGCTTTTGGCTTGTTTCTAGGCCAGGTTTATTATAAAAAGATTGCCCTTTCACTTATTAAAAAGCTTATTTGGCTCCAGCATCTTAATAGATATCAGTAAGCAATTACTTATATTTCATGTTTTGTGCTTGTCGAGAAACTTTTCCAAAGCTAAGGTAAATCATGCTGGCAACACTGCCCAAAATGCTTACTAAACACGCTCCCAACGAATGTCGCATAAAAAATTCAAAATCAAATTTAAAAAAATATTCCGTTGCTATAGAAGTTTCCTGAAGTATTAGATATAAACAAAAATATGTAAACAAAAAACATAAACAAACAGCTTTTTCAAACATAACAATCAACAGGTGGCCCTCAACTACTCGTTGGTAACTGACAACGAAAACGTTGTTGCCATAACAATTTCTAAATAAAAAATGTTGAAAGTAGTCGTAACAACGAGCAAAACGGCAACATTGATTTTTTTCATTTTAAAACATTTTCTCAATGAAATCGGTTGAAGTTTACGGAAAAAAAAATTTTCTCTGCAAATTTTTACAAGAGAAAAATACATACATCTAGCAATTATTAGCAACGGCGGAAGCCACAAAAGCCATCACCCAAATAATGGCGGATCGCGCAAAGATGGAAAAGTTCCGTTCGCATGCAAAAGAAATGGAAATAAGATATGCACCGTTAAAGGGCAAAAAGGCAACAATTGCATCGCAATCAAGTCGACGCACGAGCATGCACGAAGTCAAACCAGTGCGCTCAATAGCTGCGCCCTCGTTGAAGACGGGCGCATCCCTCATACCAGATTTGAATAAGTTGATCAGTAGGGTGCGTGAATTTCCCGACGATCGTTTCATCTATTTGACTTATATGCTAAGCAAATCGAGTGAATATTTCACGCCATACAGTTTGATGTGAGTATTTAGTGGATTCTTCAGTGTTTTTTTTTTTTTTTATTAGAGAGTTTAAGAAGGCTTGCGGAAGTCTTGCGTATGTAAAAGTGTTTGCGAATCGCTTGTGATAATGCAAGCAATAGAAAAACGGAGGTAGGAGAGTCCATTTGGTTAAGTGAAAGTGAATACGAATACAAATTCGAATACGATTATGATTACTAATCAAAATTTATTTAAAGAACTGCCTGCAAGACAACATCTAATCTTTTATTGGTAGAGACCTGCGGATCCAACTTAGTTTTGAAGTCAGTGACGGACCTTACTCTCCTCATAGCTACATACATACAGTTGGCTGTGAGTAAAAGAGTCATCTTTAAGATATAGTACAGCCTTCCACAATATCTGTTCAAGAGCATCAATAATCGTAATGGCAAACGCAATTATGACTGCAAATTGGAGCGTTTCATGTTGAAAGGCATATAGTTTCGAAATCTTTCGTTTGACACCAATATTGAAATATTTCACACAACTTGAATATATTTTATTTGTATTAAACTTTCAGAACAGGTGGCGAACCCTTTTCAAAAATATATGTAGGTTGTTTTATTTAAGTAATTAAGATTAATAGTTGAGAATACAAAAGTATTTAAATGGCACTTCTTCAAATTGAATTAGCAAACTCTCGCCGACACGTCTTTTCGGTTTAATCGCCGTCGTTCAACTCCCCTCGTCTTTCGTCGTTTTTCAAATCGTCTTCTCTCTTGCGTCTTCTCGTCGATACATGGCTGTTCACGTCTTCTTCTTGTTGAATGTAAGCTTCACAATATATTCCCACATATATTCAAACTATAACCTTCTTAAACCTCTTTCGTTTGTTCCTGGGCCATTTCATCCAAATTCAAATCACCTTGTACCGCTAAGGAAGGCGCCTTTAACAATGTTAATTTGGCATCCATATACTGCTCCATGGCGGCCGTAGGACTGGACCCACTCACCACTCTCTGGATCGACAATATGTTGAGCACCAGAAGCATCATTGGCTCCCTGGGAACAGCAGAAGTAAAGAAAACGGTCACACGTGGAACCCCTCAAAAGGGGGTGTTATCGCCCCTGCTGTGGAGCCTCGTGCTTAACGAATTCCTGCTCCGCACATCGAAAGTCGTCAAGATCGTTGGCTGTGCGGATGACTTAGTCATTTTGGTCGTGGAGAAATTCCTCTCCACGGTCAGCGAGATTCTGCAATCTGCAATTAACGACCTTCCGGGGTGGGCAGGAAGAAACCGTCTAGGGTTTAACCCCTTCAAAACCGAACTTGTTCTGTTCACCAAGCGTTATAAAGTAGACAAATTTCAAACTCTGTCCCTCAATGGAGCAAGCCGGGAATTGCCAAAAGAAGCGAAGTTTTTGGGGGTTATTCTCGACTCTAAGCTTTCCTGGAAAAGCAATACCGAAGAGCGCAGAAAAAAGGCGCTCATTGCGCTCTACTCCTGTAAGGCTACGATCGGGAAAGACACATTAGACAGATTCTCACTTATGGAGCGCTGGTATGGTGGCAGGCGGTGGACACCAAAACCCATCTACTTAATCTGCAAAAGGTGCAACGACAGGCATGCTTATGCATAACGGGGCGACTTAGTCAACGCCCTTGGCGGCGCTAGAGACACTCCTGGATACGTTAAAAGTACCGCAGCTAAAAGCGCTCTACGACTCAAGGCGTCTAACAGGCTGCGAACAACTTGCACGGGTCACGCCACAATCCTCGAGAGAATGGGGGTGAAGTACAGTAGCTGTGACTATCAAGTCACGGAAACTGATTTCAATCGGAATTTCGATATCCATTTTCCAGACAGAAGTGACTGGGAACTTAGTATTGCTCTTAGGGATGACGAAATACCAATTTTCACAGCTCGACGAACGAAGAACAATGAGTCTATTTAGGCTGTCAAAGCCAAACGTTAAGATTCTCACAGGAATACTAACGGGACACTGGACCATTGGCCACATGGCTGCTAGGTTCGGAGTACCGCATAACTATTTCTGTAGAAGCTGTAGAGATGAGGAGGAGGTAGAATCCGTCCAGCACTTCATTTGTGAATGTCCAGCACTCCGAATAAAATGCCTCAAATTTCTTGGGGACCGTTTCTCCGAGAGCCTTGATACCTTAGGGAAGCTCCACTGGAACGACTGCTTGGATTCGCCAGAGAATCGAAAGGGCTCAAGGATATGTAGGGATAGGCATAGGGAAACCCCCCTGGGTATCGCAATGGGCCTTTGTGGCCTCCGAATGAACTCTTATCGGAGCCGCTAAAAGCCAAGCCCTTTAATTTAACACCTAATTTTTGAAATTCGAAAGAATAATGCAGATTTGATGACCTTCACGAAAACTCGCTCTGCGTATTATGTACATGCATACATATGTGGCAACTCTAATCAAAAAGTTTTTCAAACTTATGCTGGATTTTCAGTGGGCATTAAATTGCAAAAATTTGTATGACAAAGATGGGCATTAAAAAATAATCGTGTCATTACGTTCAAAAAATAGCAATTTTCTCATACATAGCTTGGATATAATTTAACTGAATTAGACTTTTCCAACAGCTTTCAAGCTAAAGTATTTGCAAACTAAAAGCTTCTAAAAATCTCTGACATTGTGGTATTGAAATTAGCTGATAAATTTCGTAAGTTGGATTTGACTTTTTAAACGGTCGGCTATCCTGCGAAATATAATTTAGAAATAAAGCCTTTTCAAGCCCATTGCGATTGATGCCCCCCTTTTAATCATTCATTTCATTACTTATTAATTTTAATCCGGCAAACATAACAAATAAGAATTTGGCCTAAATAATTATAATTTTAATTTTAATTTAACTTTTTAAACAGGTGGCAACCCTTTAAAACACTTAAAAGTTATTCTAAATGTTCTAACTAAAAATGTCTTAAAACTCTCTACTTGACACTCATATTTCAATATTTCGTATAAAATGTTCATAGTTTAGCTACATTCGACTTCTCAAAAATGTGGCAACCCTCTTCGAAAGTATTTTAAAACTGAGACTATCAAATATTTTTCGTCATACAGCGTGATACATATTTCAATAAATTGATCAATTACATTAAATTTAACTTCGAAAACAGGTGGCAACACCCCTCAAAAGTATTTTCAAACTAACACCTTCTGAAATCACTTTCGTCTAACGTTGTAGTACATATTGCAATTAAGTGGTAAATCGAGTTAAACTGAACTTTTTAAAAAAGTGGCAACACACTTACATATTCATATGTAAATTAGAAATAAATCCTTTCCAAACTTATTTCGATTGCATGTCCTAAATTTTAATTTCTAAACAGGTGGCAAGCCCCTTTAAACACCTCAAATATCGAGCCCTAACCGCCAAAATAACGTAAGCGACATTTTTTTCAAAATTTTCTTTTTGATGCAGAAATGTATCTAGATGCTCTAGGAATATTTCGGCATCAAAAAGAAAATTTTGAAAAAAATGTCGCTTACGTTATTTTGGCGGTTAGGGCTCGATATATGGTGCATTTCAAAACGTCTAAATACAAAGCATCAGTCTCTTTTATTTCTAAACCGCACTAGAAGAAAAAGTATAACTTGCGAAAACTAGCATATAACGATGGTTGCGCACATATGGCATTACAATCTACTGAGGTTAAATATGAATATGAATACGAATATGAGTTTTAATATGAATATGAATATGCGTACGAATATTGAATATGAACATGAATATGAATATGAATATGAATACGAATATGGATACGAATATGAAGATGAGTATGGATATGAATATGAACACGAATATGAATATGAATATAGATATGAAAATGAGCATGAATGTGAATATGAATATGAATAGGAGCATGAACATGAATACGGATATGAATATGAATATGAATACGAATATGAGTTTTAATATGAATATGAGTTTGAATACGAATATAAACATGAATATGAATACGAAGATGAACATAAATATGAATATGAATATGAATTTGAATATTAATATGAATATAAATATGTATTTGAATATGAATATTAATGTGAATATGAATATGAATATGAATATGAATATGTATTTGAATATGAATATGAATATGAATATGAATATGAGTATGAATATGAATATAAAAATTAAAATTAATGTGAATATGATTTTGAATATGAATATGAATATGAATATGAATATGAATATGAATATGAATATAAATATAAATATGAATATGAATATAAATATGGGTATGAGTATTGATATGAATATGAAAATGAATATGAATATGAATAAGAATATGAGTATGAATATGAATATGATTATAATACGAATAGTTCAGAACATCGTTATATAATAAAAGAAAAATTCTGAACAAAATTCATACAAATCAAAATTGGTCGATTCCACCCATAACGAATATGCACATTCTACAATTCTTATATTCCAGGGAAGTTCAATATGAAGATCTACCGAATAAACATCACTACTTCACCATGAGTCGTCACGGTGTAACCTATTGGCATTTGTCGGAGAACTTTTTCACACCGCTCACTCAATGGCAGCAGGAGTTTCAACAATTTCTAAGCATAATTAAAATACATAGTTTTGCTGTGTTTCGTATGTGGAAGGGTTTCAAGGTGTGGGAGAAGACCGTCAAGTGGCGCAAACAGAACGATGCACGCGCCTACCTCAGTGATCACCTATTCATTGCAATACCACCGTTAGCCAGAGCAATTCTGCAATTTCGTGCCGATATTGTACAGCTGAACAAGCTATCGTTCGTTAATGTTGCAGGTGAGTGGAGAATACATGAAACTCAACTTACAAATTTTGCAATGACTTTCTATTTTTTACATTTCTAGTTATTGAAGAATGGCATCCATTCTACTTTCTGGAGACGCAGATGCGTGTGTATGAACGCATGAAAGCTACGCTGCGCGATTTTCGCGAACGTTCCAAAAAGATGTTGTGTAAGTATTTTCACTGGAGTAGACTAAAAATATTAGGTTTTAAATTAATTCTTAATTTAAATAACTGCAATAAAGCATTTAAGCTTAGCATTAAAGAGTGCAGAAAAAAAAGAGTTTAAAATCTTTTCCACTCTTTCTCCCATTTAGTTGATGCCTGCACTTCTGCCATTGTGGAGCGTGGCTTCTTTCCAACAGACGAGATCAATTTTTTTCCATCCATTAAAAAAAATGAAGGAGGCAATGAATTTTACAGACCGTGCGAAGAAACGCAATTTTTGCAAGATGCTATCAAAGTAAGTGCAAGATAAACGATTAAAACGAATAAAATGTCTATGCTTCGATACCACAGTTCCAACGCTGTGAATACGAACTAGGCGATCGCTTGAAATCCTCTCAATATCGAGAAATATTCAGATAGATCGTCTATAATATGCGACTCAAACTTAAAGTTTCTCATCTGTCGTTAAATTCAATCCCCGTAAAAATATTTTCAGCTTCTTAAGTTACTGTGACAATTTGATGTTCCACATGTTGCACCAATTGACTGCCAGCAGTTTTCGTCGTTTGGCCGAGTCAATGGAAGCGCATCACATGGTAGGGCCAACTAAGGAGGAGTTGCAGGAGAATCTAGCCGTAAATGTGCAAATCGAAAATCCTCGACCGGAAAATATGCCAATGGTACTAAACACAAAAAAAAATTAACTGAATAACCACAATATAAACCTTTAAATTTTCTCACTACAGAATCCCTTCTTCATTGCTGAGTTATATATGCTAACAGATCGTATAGATGTGGAGCCATCTGAGTAGGTTTGATTATTTATAAAAAAAAAAACATTTATGTACTTAAGAATGTTTAATATACCTTTCACGTTACTAGAGAGTCATTGAAATACATTTTCCAACGCATTTGCTCACTCATATTGGAAACGGTTACTGAAATGGAGAGTTTTACCGATGACAAGACATTCAATCAATACACAGTGTAAGTTCAATAAAATTCAGTGAGACTATGTATGGTTAACTCACACTTTCTTTTCATATTTCTCTCTCTCTCTCTCACTCATCATTCTACCATTTCTTCTTTCACTCAAATCTTCATGTCAGACCTTCAATCATGGGCCGCCAAGAAGAACGCTTAGCAATGACCGCACCAGATCTAAATTTCCTTCTACGCACGGATGTACGATTTCAGAATGAGCGGTAAGTGTCGCTTAACTACCTCACACTTTTTTTTAGTGATTTTTGTCATTCCCTTTACAGTAAACTCATCTTCGCTTACATACGCAACGCTTACGAGAAGGCTATGCTCTATGCAGCACGTTTTGAAACTATACGAAACAATTATGAGATCGATACGACTACAGATCCGAAAACGCTTACATCAGAACGAGGTAAACCTTTTATCCGCTATTTGTTGTTCATTACATCATTCTTATAAGAGTTATTCTTCTTGAATAGAATTAGAGGCACTACGCACTTACTGTAATCGTTATACCAACAATGTACGCGCATTGGATGGCATTTTGTCGGTGGTTAATTTGGGTCTATTGAAGTTGACGCAAACAAGTTTCAAAGAAACTGTCACGCCGATTTGTCAAAGTCTATCGAACGTTCTGAATGCTTATATACCAAAGTGAGTGGAAGAAAATGCGTTTTCTTTAGTATTTCATCTTTTTTTTTAAGATTTGCAGAAGTTTTTGAACATAAACCAAGGCCCGCAAACCCGCTCCGATTTTGGTTTAGTTCTGCACGAGGACAAAATGTAATTTGTTCCCACAAAGAAACCGAATGGGAACAAAAATATTGAGAGCAGTTTTAATGAGAAAAAAATGAGAACAAAAGTTTGAGAATGTTCCCTTAGAGAACAAAATGTAAACGAAACTCTCGGAAACGTTCCCAAGAAGAACAGAATGAGAAGGAAACTTCGAATGAGAACGAAAGTATCGAGAACTTGTTCAAGGAGGGCAAAATTAAGAACAAAGGTCTGGGGAACGTTCAACTGGAGAACAAAGTTTTGAGAGCTTAACATTAAGAATCAGATAGGCGTCTGCGTTTTGGGGTGAAGAATCGCTTCCAATTCGTTCTCTGTTAAAACGTTCCTGATGCTTTAGCTCTCAAATTGTTCTTCAAGAGAAATTGCACTTTTGTCACGGTTTTTTTCTTTATTATAATATTGCCGAGACTTTAGTTCCCATTTTGTTCTTTTAAAAATGTTTCCGATTATATCGTTTGCATCTTGTTTGCTTTGGGAACGTTCCCCAGGGTTTTGTTCTTACATAATTCCCCTTGAGAACATTTTCGACAGTTTTTTGCTCACTTTGATTCTTGTGAAAATAATCTCGAAGGTTCTCATTTTGTTTCGGGGTTTCAAGCGTTCCTGGAAGAAAAACTACGAGAGTGACATTTAGTCACAGGCAGGGACGGCAGTCTTACTATACATCTATATAAACCTGTAGAGCTTGAACCATACTGAGCATATTAAGTTCAAAGGGGACACCAATCCAAGTCTCGTTAGATGGATGGTGTATAGGTAAATTCAGTTGAAGAATCAGCATGTACTCAAACAGGTCTAACGCAACTCTTATAAGAGTTACTAGACTCAAACCAGAATGAAGGAATAAATAAAATTTGAATACATAAATTTTCACCATGCCCTAGAAGGCATTGCCCGGGAACTTAAGGCGACTCTAATGCTTCAAGTTTCAAGTTGTTTTAATTCATAGACGTGAAGAAAATCCCACAAAAAATCGAAATACCTCTGGCCAATGAGTTTCACAGCCTTCATACCAAAGGCTCTTAAAGGACTATTACCCATGCACATCAGATGCCTTTTTTTGGAAATTCTATATTATCGCAGCTTTTATGTATATTAAGAACAGGTCAAAAGAAACCGTGGCATAAGAAATTGTGAGATCCATGGATCAAAAAGAAAAGCATTGCGCATTTCCTGACCTCCTCGAGGAGGCTTTTACCAATATAAAAAACGAAGCAAAAGGCATAAGCATAGGTCGATTTGTCGACAAGTTCAAGTGGTTTAAAGATGCCAAGGAATCACGACAGCAGATAGTACTAGAGGGCACAGAAAAAATTTATTAAAATGGCGCATACAGCGGATAATACTCGGGCAACACTGCTAACAACCAACCATAGAAATACTTAAGAAATTGTTTTCGGAATTCTCTTAGCTCAATTTAAAATAGAATCCTGTCTAGAGCAAGCTAATTTATCTAACGCAAAAGGAGGGATATAAAGGCAAAAAGATCAGGTATTCAGGACTATGGTGAATGGGAGTCTACAAATACTAGAGCTGAGATTTTACCAAATTGAATCGCAGCTGACCAGATGCAATGTGGGTAATGAGCTTCACAACTGTTGCCTCCACTATACATCAGAAGTCTTATATAGCCTTAAAATTATTATCCAAAAGCTATTATGGGATTTATGAAGACACTTTAGACTATTTTTAATAAGCCAATTTTTCGAGTATTTTGTGAACTATTTTCTAATGCTGGAACATAACTTTATCAAAATAAATTCTCTGTAAAAATTCCCAAAAATTTTATTTATTATTATTTGAGGAAAAAAAGCGAGCTATATAGATTAACTGAGCTGGTCCCATAAAAATTCACTCCCTCCTTAGGCCATTTAAGAAGTAAGGCATTTTAGAGGGTGTCATGTTCCTGATTCTCGGCGGATACTCCATAATCAGTTTGCTTAACCTTTGGCCACTAGGCCAGTGCTGCATATGTGATAATCGGTTTAGTCACTGTAATGAGTGAGTCTCTGACACCCTTGTTGTTAACATCTCTCAGATGTGATTTCCAGTTGAGCCTTTTGTTCAAAGTTATTCCTAGATACTTCGCGTCTGGCGATAACCAATGTCTGAAATTCCCGATGAGGGTTAAGTTAAGCTGACTTTCCCCCTTTTGGGTCAAGGGGTCGATGGTGGACTTTAGTAGGTTTATTAACATACCCTTTTCAAAGCACCATTTCTCAGTGAGTTTTAAGGCTCATCACCACGAGTATTAGGAATATTATTTCCTGACATGGCCTTGAGTTTTTCTTCGTATGATGTGCTATCAAAAAAAAAATATGTACTAAATCTGAAAGTTATGTACCAGTGTACCAAACTGGAAAAAATGTACCAAAAATTGCACATTTCGCCCAAAGTGGCAACCGTGGGCACTACCCTAAGTTGTGGCCTGCGGAAAGCTGTAGAAAGTAGATGAATGAGAAGTAAGAAGAAATTGTTCATCTACTCTGTACCTATATAACTCGGCATCGGCTGTAGAATTCGGCATCTGATGACGATATAAAAAGTTTTTCGTTTTCGCGATTTTCCATTTTTTTGGTTTTTAATAACAATTTGCAGCATTTTCCTCAACCTTACATGTTTCATTTCTAAAACTCCTTTACGAATCTCTAATCCATTACAGGCTAGCTGCCGAAGAGGTGGATCGCATCACACAAGAAGCGCACGATTTTATTGGCATCATTAGTGCAGAACCAGAAACTACTTTGGAAATTGTCGAGCACATACGAGAGCTGGAACGTATCGATGAAAATTTAAATAAACTTTTCGAAGCGGTTGATTATGCGCACGATCTATATATGATAATTAAAGAATTCGAGATACCATGCGACGACGAGCGGCGTGAAGACTACATGGATTGTGAAGATTTGGTAAACCGAGGTAGCGAGCTTCTGAAAGAAACACAGGCAAAGCGTCCGGATTTCATAAACCAATTAAATCAGCGCATGCTGGCAGATATCGACGTATTGAGAGAGGAAATACACGACATAGCGCTTGGTGTGCAAATTTCCGAATTATTGGATGTAAGTAGCTGAGATAACTGTTAAAATTTCGGTACTAAAGCTACTCCGTTTACATACATATAGATAAATACAGGCAGCAAAAAAGCCAAAGGCATACTGGATGACTTGAATCAGCGACTCAGCGCTTGCAAGGAACGCGTGGAAGAATACATTGGCTATCAAAAGGAATTCAAGGTATGTATTTTGGGAGTTTTGGAAACTTAAATGAAGTGAGCAGCTGCAACTGAAAAACGAATACTAATTGCAGATTGACATTTCACAATTCCTTGAAATGGATGATACATTCCTTGAGATAAGAATGCGAAATAATCTTTGGCAATCGCTGGATGAATGGGATGCAGCTTTGGATAGTTGGGTCAACATGGAATTCAATCAATTGAATGTGGAAGAAATGAATAATCTGAACATGAAAATAATCAAAAATTGCTTGCAATTTGAAAAATATCTACCAGAAAATAACATCGTACCAAAAATGAAATCGTCCGCCGATGAATTTAGAGCAAAGCTACCTGTTATTGGATTCCTGCGCAATCCGCATTTCAAGGCGGTATGTAAGATTATGATTTAGTACACTTGCAAACAAAAAAAAAACAATGTATTTTTGCACTCTATTTTCTGTGCTTAGCGTCACTGGACCCATATCGAGAGTACGCTGAATATACGCGTTTACCAAGAGGAGGGCATACGCATATCCACCTACGAGACAGCTGGCGCAATGGAACCAGAGAAAGCGGCACAGCTGATGGAGATTTCATCACAAGCCACAGGCGAATCACAGCTCGAAGTAATGTTAAAGAATATTGAAAATATATGGAAGGAAACCGAATTGACGATCGTGAATCATCACGATCAAAAAGATGTCTTTATATTGGCTGGCACGGAGGAATTACAAGTAATTTTGGATGATTCAACTGTGAATATCAATACAGTTGCAGCATCGAAGTTCGTTGAGCCCATTAAGTCGAAAGTGCAGGAGTGGATTGAACTATTGGAGCTGTTCAATGAAATGTTAGGTAAAATATTTGCATACTTTTGTAGTCAAGTTACTTCATTTACTACACTGAGGAAAATAATGCATAGTAAAAATGAATACTTTATATTTGATTATCGTTTAAAAATGTTCGTATTTAAAAGTAATGTTTTCATACAAAAATTTATTACGCACGTATTTTACTGTTCACATCTTAGTATGCATATGTAAGTGTACATATGCATCCCCAGGATGCAGAGCGGTGACAACACACTCATACATATATAATACACGATTGAGAGAAATAGAGATTTCGCCTATCGCAGTACCGCTAATCCGCTCTTTGTGAATTTGACAGAATCAGCTGTGAGCGTGACGTCACCTTGGTGCAATTGAGGAAAACCAAATAACGATTTAACTGGGTACGGTTTAGTTATTTGCCCAATGATTTCGGGCCATTGTGTCCGAATGGGTAACCCGATTAAACAAATTTTACCACACTTGTAATCAAGGGTCTACACTTTATTGCAAAATTCTACGAAAATATACTTTAGATGGCGTAGCTGGAGTTATATGCACAAGAAATGCCTAACACCTGTAGTGTTCTGCACAAAAATACTGTTTATTGAGTTTACATTTCCAGTGTCAAAACTCTAATTTTAGACCATTTTCCAATGGTTCCCCAAGGGTATGTGGAAGGTTTCGAGGGATTAGGTGTGACTTTTTTCAAAGTGTAAACTGTGCTCTTTCTAGTGGGTTAGATATCAAGACCCACGCCCCATCCCGCTCCGCCCACTAACCCAAAAACAATGGATAAATAACTACACACTTCCAATTTAACTGTTTGTACGTTATTATTTCTGCGTAGTTTTACACAATTATTGAAACATTACAAGTCAAAATGAAGTCTGCATTGGCAAATTGTAAAAGTGAAAACACCGTACGCATATTACAAGCAGCACTTTCAAATCCGATGCGTTTCTCATGCCCTTTGGGTAAAGATTATTTGTATCCCTGTTGAGTATCAAAAGAATCAATCGGTCAATGCAGTCATCTCCACAATACTACCTTTATTACTCTTCTAAAATATTTGTGAACACATCACTTTCCAACCCAATATGATCTTAGTCTAATGCTTTCCTATTTCGCATATCTTCAAACGCACAGAGGTTTGGTTAAATTGCCAGACAACGTGGATATATTTGGAAGCTATCTTCTCTTCGCCCGATATACAACGTCAGCTACCGCAAGAGGCAAAAATGTTCTTCACCGTCGACAAGAGTTTCAAAAACATTATGCGAAACGCAAAGAAGATTTCACTAGCTTTGCCAGTTATGACTGAGCGCAATACGTTCGATGCGCTCAATGAAAATAATCGCTTGCTAGATTTGATTAGCCGCGGTCTAGAGGCTTATCTCGAGGTGAAACGTGTAGTTTTTCCTAGGTAAGTTAATCTACTACTTCATTTTCATAGGGAATTATTGTATTTGTTTTCTCCTATTAGATTCTATTTCTTGTCCAATGATGAACTACTCGAGATTTTGGCACAAACACGTGTCCCTCAGGCGGTACAGCCACACTTGCGCAAGTGCTTCGACGCTATCTATCGACTGGAATTTGGACAGAAGGAAAGTGGTGATGGTGGCAAAATGATACCCACAAACGACATCATAGCCTTCATCTCACCTGAAGGTGAAAAGTTGCAGTTCGGTAAGGGTCTAAAGGCGCGTGGCGCAGTCGAAGAGTGGTTGAGCAAAGTCGAGGAGGCAATGTTTATTGCTGTGAAGCGATACATGCGCTTCGGTTATCAGTGCTATCCGGCTAAGGAGCGTGATGAATGGTTTCAGGGTATGCGGATGCGAATTTAACTTTTTTTAAACTTAAATTTGTTTAATTAAAATTCGCTCACACACTAGATCATCCGAATCAAGTAGTGCTGACAGTGTCGCAGCAACGATGGGCCGCCGATATTCACATGATATTGGACAATAATAAAATCGGTTCAGCCATTAAGATTACCAAATTGAAAGAGTTTGAGAAAAAGTGTTACAAAAATTTAGCTGCCTTAGCGGCTATGACACGAAGGGATATCTCTTCGCTGTTGCGGAAAGTACTTTGTGCGCTTATAACTATCGATGTGCATGCTAAGGACTCAGTTACATTATTACTCGATAAAGAAGTGACAAAAAAGTATGTGTTAACTATTTTCGAATGTAAAATTCAAACTCTCTAAGCTCATTCTTAATTTGTTTACTATTTCCAGCACTGACTTCAATTGGCTAAAAATGTTACGCTTCTACTGGGCCTACGACACGGATACTGTCTATACACGCATGGCCTCCGCGAACATACCCTACTACTACGAGTACTTAGGCGCAGGCGGTGTGCTGGTGTTGACGCCACTAACAGATCGTTGCTATCTCTGTCTGATGGGCGCCTTGCAAATGGATCTAGGTGGCGCACCAGCCGGCCCAGCTGGTACGGGTAAAACCGAGACCACCAAGGATTTAGCGAAAGCCGTAGCCAAGCAATGCGTCGTCTTCAATTGTTCGGAGGGCTTGGACTACAAAATGATGGGTCGCTTCTTCTCCGGCCTGGCACAGTGTGGCGCATGGTGCTGTTTTGACGAGTTCAATCGTATCGATATCGAAGTTTTATCCGTCATTGCGCAACAATTGATCACTATTCGAAATGCAAAGGTCATAAATGCGAAACGGTAGGAATTGCTCATTTTAGTGCATTAGTCGGTTACCCCATAAAATCTGTTTGCGTTTATTACAGCTTCATATTTGAGGGCCGCGAAATTAAACTGAATAAATCTTGTGCCGTTTTCATCACAATGAATCCCGGTTATGCTGGACGCACAGAGTTGCCCGACAATCTAAAGGCCCTCTTCCGACCCATGTCTATGATGGTGCCCGATTACGCACTCATCTCTGAAGTCATCCTCTACTCGGAGGGTTTTGAAAATCCTAAAATTCTGGCTCACAAAATGGTACAGATGTACAAATTATGCAGCGAACAGCTCAGTCAACAGAATCACTATGATTTCGGCATGCGTGCCGTCAAGTCGGTGCTGGTTATGGCTGGCGCTCTGAAGCGTGCCGCACCCGATCAACGCGAGGATATTACGCTAATCGCAGCGCTACGCGACTCCAACATACCGAAGTTTTTGGCCGATGATGCCGGTCTGTTTCGTGGTATACTAAGCGATTTGTTTCCCGGCGTCGAGCTACCAGATTCATCTCATCCCAGCTTGGAGGAAGGTATGATTGAAGGTTTGAAGCTGAAAAATTTACAACCGGTAGCAATTACCCTGCGCAAGGGCATACAATTGTACGAGACGATGTGTGTGCGTTGGGGTGTAATGCTGGTGGGACCGACAGGTGGCGGTAAGACGACGGTGCTGCATAACCTTGCTTTCGCCTTGGGTTATTTGTATGAGAAAGACGTGCCCGGTCCAAACTTTCGGCCAGTTACGATGCAGACAATGAATCCGAAAGCAGTGCACATAAATGAGCTATACGGTTATGTGGATTTGAAAACGCTCGAATGGCAAGATGGCCTACTGGGCTTGGCTGTGCGTACTGCGGTGAATGTGGAAGGTACACGTTAGCAACTTTCATTTAAAGAATAAGTTGAATATTATTAGATTTTATCAATAGAGGAAATACACCAGTGGATAATTTGTGATGGTCCCGTGGACGCCATTTGGATCGAAAATTTGAATACCGTCTTGGATGACAATAAAATGTTGTGTCTGGCGAATTCCGAACGCATCAAATTAACCGCTTGGGTGCATATGGTTTTCGAAGTGCAAGACTTAGCACAAGCCTCACCGGCCACTGTCTCCCGCTGTGGTATGGTTTATGTCGATCCCGAAGATATGGGTTGGCTACCATTGGTCGATTCGTGGAAGACTAGCGACATCGAGAAGAAGTTAACCGCTGAACAAATGGAATTTCTCTATCAACTCTTTATCAAGTATTTCAGCGAACAATTGAAGCTGGCGCTGAAACATGGTGCTTACATGATACATCAAGTGACCAGCGCCAAGGTTCAGTTGCTGTGCGAACTATTGGCTTCATTGATTGAACAGAAGAATTGGACTAACGTCAGCGAGAATGAATATAGGCCGCTTATAAGCAAACTGTTTGGTTGGTCTGTTTTGTGGGCGGTCGCCTCGAATTTCAAGGATGCCGAAAAGGATGGATTCGAAAAGCATATTAGAGAGGTCGTAGAAGGCGATACAAATTTTGAGTAAGTTAACTCTTTAAGGGAGGTCTAACCATTTCGTAACCTGGTACTTATTCAGCTTCCCACCTGGCTCAATCTGGGACTACTACATCAATATGGATACTGGGAAGTGGGAAAACTGGAACTCGATAATAGAACAATTTCATTTTGATACCGAAATGAAGTATTTCGATATGCAAGTACCAACTGTAGACACAACAAAATATGGGTGAGTGTATGGCACTTTTATAGCCAAAAGCGATATAATAAAGAAGCTAATGGAAAGACCCACAACTGTAAGAAAAAGTAGTGGATTTTATAAGGCAGCAAACCCCACTTTTTAATACAGATTTTTGTATATTTTCATTTTCGTCGTTGAACTATATATAAAACATATCTGCAGTACTGAATTCAGCGGGGCTGAGCATACGGGTTTCAAAGAGTCAGTTTGTTTATTAATGTGAACACGAAGAGTAGGCGTAAACGACTTAGTAGAGTGGATGGAGAAATAGGGCTGCCAAATTATTGCCAAGGCAAACGTGGCACTTATGGTTAAGGGTAGATTTCTGGACGTCGTACGTACACGTATTGTTTGTAAGTGTCGTTTTGTCTTATGTCGTAAAGTTTTTAAGAAATGTTTAGGGGATTTAAACCACAACGAACCTTGTTTTAACTAAGTGAAAAATAATAATATGACTTTTGTGGTCCATTTAGAACCCTTTCAATAAAAATATTTAAGTCTTACGACATAAAACAATACGACACTAACGACACCTTTGTAAGTACTCCATACATATATGTGGAGTTACATACTTCAATCAATTTCTTAGACATCAGTTCATTGTAACTACTCTATATAACTACTCTCACACCTCTCATTATAACCCAGCAATAGGTATTATTTACTTAAACCCTTCTCCCCTCTCACAGCTACGTTTCTGAGTTACTATTCGCACGGAGATATCCCGTTATGTTTACTGGTGATACGGGTGTCGGTAAATCTGTATTAGCAATTTCCGTGCTCAAGAAATTGCAAAAAGGTAACGTAGTGCCGGTACTTTTAAACTTTTCCGCACAAACGGGTAGCGCACGTACGCAAGAAATGGTCGAAGCGCAATTAGAGCGAAGAAAACGTACACAACTCAGCGCACCATTCGGAAAAATGGTTATCGTTTTCATAGACGATGTAAATATGCCTAAACTGGATACATATGGCAGTCAACCGGCAATCGAGTTATTGAGGTAATGAGTGAGAACGTAAGCTGTAGAGTTTAAGAGTTGCTTTTTCTCATTCGTGATATCCCGCAGGCAATTTCTCGACTTCAAAGGTTTATACGATCGCGAGAAACTCTTCTGGAAAGAAATCTTGGACGTAGTGCTGGGCTGTGCTTGTGCTCCACCAGGTGGTGGCCGAAACCCCTTGACGCCACGGTGAGTAAACACTACGTATGTATATGTTTATGTGGGATAAATATTATTAAAATATTTTTAGTTATGTGCGTCACTTTGCGCTCTTCTCCCTGCCCAAACCGAATAATGAGACATTGACGACTATATTCGCTGGCATACTAACAGGGTGTGTATGAAGAGCCTGTATAATTTTTTTCGTACCCTCAGTACATCATATAGTCACATTACTGTTTGTATGTCTACCCCTTAGCTTCTTAGACACATTCTCCACCGTTATACGCCCGCTTGCCTTACCTATAGTCAACGCTTGTGTCGACGTTTACTCGCGCATCGCCAATGAAATGTTGCCCACGCCTGACAAGTCTCACTACATATTCAATTTGCGTGATTTATCCAAATGCGTACAGGGTATTTTGCAAGCCAAGAATACTCATTATAATCAAGAAATTCAGGTGTTGCGTCTCTTCCTCCACGAAACGACACGCGTCTTTCACGATCGTCTTATCAATGATGAGGATAAGGGCCTGTTCAATAATATCATGTACGAAGTTTGTCTCAAGCATTTCAGACGTGAAGTATCGAAGCGAGATGAACCGCCAATACTGTTTGGAGATTTTATGATTTTTGGAAAGTCGAAAAATGAACGCATCTATGAAGAGATCAGTGACCACAAGAAGTTGGAAAGCATTTTGAATGATTACATTGAGGATTACAACTCGATAACGGGTAAGAGTATGCGTTTGATACTCTTTCAGGATGCGCTCGAACATACGGTGCGTTTGGCGCGCTTGCTGCGTAGCGATCGTGGTTATGGCTTGCTAGTTGGTGTGGCCGGCATGGGTAAGCAATCGCTGACACGCTTAGCTTCACATGTTAACGAGTATAAGTGCCTGCAAATCGAGTTGAAGCGAAATTATGATATAAACGCATTCCATGAGGATCTGAGAGTCATCTACCGATTTGCAGGGGTGAGTTGCAAGAGTTAAACGAATCTGTCAGGCATAAACTTCGATCTACTCATATGTTGCAGATCGAAGACAATCCCGTCGTCTTTTTAATGATCGACACACAAATAGTGGAGGAAGAATTCTTGGAGGATATAAACAATATGCTTAATTCGGGCGAAGTACCAAATCTCTTTGAGGGCGACGACTATGAGAAGATTATATTGGACGCACGGGAAGCATGCAATGCAGCAATGGCTGGGGTAATTTTTTGGATTGATTGTATTTGTATGTAAAACTCATTGCTAACTTGTGTCTCGTATAGGGTTGCAGTCGTGATGAAATCTATAAGTTCTTCATCAATCGTGTACGCAATAATCTGCATGTAGTGCTCTCTATGAGTCCAGTGGGAGATGCTTTCCGGCGACGTTGTCGCATGTTTCCGTCTTTGGTAAATTGCACTACCATCGATTGGTTCTCCAACTGGCCGACCGAAGCATTGTATTCTGTGGCTCTGGGCGTGCTGCAAGATATAGCGCGTGACAATAACGATCGTATAGCTTTGGCTAGCACCACCGTATTTATGCATAAGGTAAATGGATATCAAAATTATAACTTTGCCCATCAGCAAGGGTTCAGTTTATGGGTAGCTGAAACAGTGAAGCCAAGCACAAAACATCGAGCAAGCTTCTTAAAAGTGACACGCATATTTAGTTATTCCACATAAATACACGAGTTACGGCTGATAAATCACGATCTATGGTACTAAATTATGGCACATCGTCTAGTAACTATTATCGCTGATAGCGGTTAGGCTATGATCTCTTAAGGTGGTTTTTCCTAATAACGGTAACTGCTGTGTTATAGCGAAAATCGCTGCGAGCCGAGGCCAAAGTTTCGCGGGCAGCAGATATGAGTCCTGAAAATCTACTAAAGCCACCTGTGATCTGTTCACAGGTTGCTAAATCCCAGTCTAGCAAAAGCGGGGTAGTCTAAGAAGAAGTGTTGAGATAATTCCAACTCGTCGCCGTACATGCAGGTGCGAGATTCCGCATTGAGTACACCAGCCAGAATTGAGAGGTTTAGTTTTGTGAGACAAAGGAGATCCCTAGACCGTCCCTAGTTCACCCCAGGCCTGAACGACCTTGTAGTGCTACATGCCCTGGTATCTTCCCGCGTTCGGTGAGTTGACCATTGGGATCAACTTGTCAAATAACTTTAACTTACAGGCATCTAACCCTAATTTATTTTTCATGCAAATATAGGTTCGAGTATTTTTTATGAAGTGTAAAGTAAAATATTTTGTGATATTACTTTTCATTTTGTGAATTTGGTGCAAGGTCTAATAAAGTTATATCTTGGATTTATTAATGCAATATATACATATCAATGAAGGATGTAATTAAGTAACTTAACAACTTATTCCGAATTTTTATTGTAATAGTTTAAATTTCAAATTTAATTTTGCGCTTTCCTTTTTGCGAATCTTTCTATTATCCTTTCAGTGTCAATTTCAATATCTAAGTGTACGCGTAAAAGTGCTAGACCTGCAATGGGAGTTGGCTTCATGCTTTATACTGTAATTCTTCAATAGCAAACTATCTATTTAGCAGTAAATCTTAGGTCATTTCCCTTCTTCTCTTGACCAGCTTTTGACACATATTTTCTTCCTACTTATATATTTTTTTCATAGACCGTCGAAGAGGCATCAGTACGCTATTACAAAGAAATGAAACGGCATTACTATACCACACCTAGCAGCTATTTGGAACTGCTTAAACTGTATCAGAACTTATTAAAGGTTAAATCCGATGAGATAATCGCCAAACGAAAACGTATTTCTAATGGCTTGAATAAAATACTGGAGACCAACGATGTTGTAAGTCCCTTTCTACTGCCTATTTCTCACTCACACTCTCACTTTCTCACACTTCCATCTTTCTGCCTCTATGCCACCTACATATTTCACTCATTCCTTATAGATCGCTGTCATGCAAAAAGAGTTAGAAATTATGGTACCACAACTGGATGAAAAGTCGGCGATTATGAAACAATTGGTGGATCGTCTCAACGCCGATACCAAACAAGCGGATCAGGTGAAAGAGGGCGTATTGCGCGATGAAACTGTAGCTAAGGAGAAGGCTGCCGTCTGCCAAGTGATATCTGATGATGCTAACAAAGATTTGGAAATCGCTATGCCAGCTCTACGCGAAGCAGACGCAGCATTGAATGGCTTAACGAAAGCAGACATCAATGAGTTGAAATCCTTCACCACGCCACCCGCACTGGTACAGTTCACCATGGAAGCGGTGTGCATTTTGATGGGATCTAAGTATGAAACGCAGTTCACCAAGAAGCGGGCGTTTATGTGTAATGAGTTTAAATTTATATTTTTAGAACCGATTGGGCCTCAGCTAAACGTATAATGGCTGATGTGAATTTTCTGAAGCGGCTGTTTGAGTACGACAAGGAACACATCAAGGAGGATGTGCTCAAGAAGCTAAAGAAATATATTGAACACAAGGACTTTTTGCCTGCGGTAGATAATGCATTTAAACTTCGTTCAATTTTTATTTTATTTTTATTTATTTTACTCCCATATTTCGTTTTAGAAATTGGAAAAAGTATCGAAAGTCGCATCCTCTGTTTGCATGTGGGTGATCGCTATGGATAAATTCTCAAAGGTCTACAAAGTAGTCGAGCCAAAGTTGAAGCGCAAGGAAGCGGCAGATGCCGAACTGAAGGACATTATGACCGTACTCAAGCAAAAACAAAAAGAATTGGCGGCTGTTGAAGCTAAAATTCAGGCACTACAAGAAGACTTGGAGGAGAAAAATCGGGAATTCAAAACCATACAGGATGCTGTCGACTTAACATATGGTCGCATCAATCGCGCTGGTCGCCTAACCTCCGCTCTATCTGAGGAAGAAATACGCTGGAAGGAAACTGTGACGGTAGGTAATTTTTAAAACTCTAAGGGCCGTTTTCTCAAGTAGGTTGTAAAATGTATGTGGCCTTAAAACTGAGATTTTGTACTAAAACAACATATGTACCATTTAACCAAATTTATGTAATTCTACCTACCTTAAGATGCTGACGGAGGATTTGAAAAGTGTACCAGGTGACGTTTTGGTTTCCGCCGCTTGTGTCGCTTATTTGGGTGCTTTTTCGACCCAGTATCGCGATGAGATGTGCGCACAATGGGTGGCCAAGTGTCAGGAGCATAAAATACCATCAAGCGGTGAGTTCCTCTTAGTCAAAGTGCTCGGGGATTCATATGAAATGCGCCAATGGACCATGGATGGTTTGCCCAAGGACACAGTTTCGATTGAGAATGGTCTCTATGCGACACGTGCACTACGTTGGCCGCTTATGATCGATCCGCAGGAGCAGGTATACGTTGAAGATTATCAGATCTTAAACTACGTATTATAAACTTGCGCTCCGCTAACCTTGCAGGCTAATCGCTGGATTCGCAACAAGGAAAGGGCAAACGGCCTGATTGTATGTAAGATGACGGATGGTAGTTTATTGCGTACACTTGAAAACGCTGTGCGCCAGGGATTTCCAGTGCTACTGGAGGATATAGACGAGAACATTGATCCCTCTATACGACCTATCCTTCAGCGTGAAACTTACGTTTTTGAGGGTCGCGTCTATTTGAAGCTGGGCGATGTGGTCATTGACTATGATCCACATTTTAAACTGTATATGACTACGAAATTGGCGAATCCACATTATTTACCAGAAATTTGTATCAATGTGACGCTGGTGAACTTTTTGGTAACAGAAAGTGGGCTCGAGGATCAGCTGTTGTCGTAAGTTGAAACTTTTCAGCGTATAATCGAAAACTACTGGACTGATGGTTTTCAAATTGGAATGACATGTTTAAGCATGTTTCTTTACAGCAAAAATTCTAATTTTCTAAACCGTAATTGTAATCATTCCCACCTTGGGCATTTAAAGAACTAAGCACATTTGATTGTGTCATGTTCCAAATTTTGGGTTGAGAAGATAATCGTTCCCGAAGGTTTTACCAGTCCGCGATTCGGATATAATTAGTTCTGGGGTTTTCTCCACAAGCCCATAAAATCTACAGTCCGTGTCTACAGAAAGCGCGATTTTAGTCAATGATACCTTAACTTGCAGTATCCGGTCAGTTAATCAGTAAGAGTTCTAAGGCCCTCCCGGTTAAGTTCAAGAAGTCTTTTGAAGTTTCCTGGAAGAATTTATGAATTTCTTTGATTGTCTCCTTTGGGCAAGTGGGCAGCAATCCGAAATTCTTCCCAGCTCCTAGTATCTGTGCGGTCTATCCGTTAGATGTGCCGCAGAATAACTCTCACAACCATGCAAGCGCTTTTGTGCTCCACGTTTTGCGAGACGGTCAGTTCTTTAGTTGCGTTTTTCCCCTTCATGTCTCGAGGCCTACCACAGCAACACTCTACTGTGGACTCCTGGACGGTTTAAAGGACAAGTGTGTCTATCCAACATAATATTTGTGCCGGCCAGACTTCTGCCTGGAGCATGGCTGCGTACGTACATAAAGGCAAACTTTTCTGGAATCTTGGTCCAAGTTCGCCTGTGCCAGTACTCCCGTCATCCAACTTCGATCCATTTGCAACCATACTTGGAACCCTTTCTTTATCATAAAGAATATCACTTCCCTTTCAGGAATTCTGACATTGTAGGACTTATAGAATGGCTTGAAAACCTCCAAGTGACCCCAAAGATCCCCACTTTGCATACTGATTATATTGGGCAGCAATAGAGAGATCCAGGAGGCCTCCTTTTTAATCAGAATAGACAGTGGAATGCCTAGAATGACACTAAGGTCATCCGTGAGACAGGTGCGCATAGCTCCTGGGATGGCCACGCAAACCAAGTGGTGTAGTTGCTTAAGGTGGCATCCTCACCTACTTGCTTTGGGCCTGACCTGGCGGGATTTGCGACCTAATTGAAAGCCCAATACGTTAGTTAGGGTGATACCATGAAATCTTTGATAGGCATAAAGTGCCAGATGTTCCAATTGATACTTCGCCTCTTCTGAGAACTCAATTTCTCTCTCTACCAAGATGGGTATGGTCAAATTGACTTTCCTTTTCTTGACGAATGGGGCAATGGTGGACTTCAGTGGGTTTATTGACAATCCATTTGTAGCACATCAGTCTGGTGTATGTATAATAGTATGTGTCCGTAATTTCTCAACCAATTACAACGAAATTTGCCACACCTGTTGCAGACTTTCCAAGGATGGTCATAAGATTAAAGTTATTTCTGTTATACATCAAGGGACGTGGTAACTCTTACCATATTAGACAGGAGAATCACCAAATATATAGAGGAAAGAGTAAGGAAGGCCAACGTTGGATCATACACCTGCAAACAAGCGGTCGGAATCAAGTGGGGGTTAACACCCCTCGTATTACACATTGGCTTTACACTTCAGAGGGAAGGTATATGGAATACTTGTATGTTGGCCAGCAACTTAAAAGGGAAGATACCTTAAACACTGAGTAAGGTCCAAAGCAGAGCGTTGCTCTGCATTTCCGTTGCCTTAGGGAACACCACAAACAAAGCGCTAGAAGTGTTAACCAATTTGCCCACAATGAATCTGGTAGGGAAATACGTAGCCGCCACTTCAGCCTTCAGACTAAAAAGTATGGTGCTATGGAAAAAGCGGCGGTTCGGCCACGCTTTCATACGTTACACTATGGGAAGTTGTGACCAAGAAATCAGATACTCCCCCTTTAAATCGACCTTCGATAAGATCTTTAAGACGAACATCCCGTCAAGAGGAGAATGGCAAACACCAGGACCATGGAGAAAGGGGAATTGAATTATTACACGGATGGATTCAGTCTAGACAATAGGGTTGGCAGGACTGGAATTATCCGTTCAAATTCCGGACTTCTGCAGTGTTTATCAGGCAGAAGTTTAACGCCCTATTTCAGAATTCGTTTCAAAAACGCCCTATCTCAGCTGCCGATTCAAAAACGCCCTATATCAGCATATTTTCAATACATTTTGAAGTGAGATAGGGCGTTTTTGAACCGAATTTTTAAATAGGGTGTTTTTCAATTAAATTCTGAAATAGAGCGTTCTTGAAAAGTTTTTTGATATAGAGCGTTTTCGAACTGGCTGCCGAGATAGGTCGATCTTCCACTCAGCCATCGATCCCGCCCATCCAAGAAGAGTTTTCATATAAACTGCTCTCTTTTATAGATCTTAGTAGCTCCATTTACCATTTTCTTTTCGTGCAGTGACATTGTGGCCATTGAACTGCCTGCAATGGAGATTCAGCGCAATGATCTGATTGTGAAGATTAACACAGACAAGCAACAGTTATTGGCGTTGGAGGATAAGGTGCTCAAGCTGCTCTACAATTCGCAAGGTAATATTTTGGATGACGAGGAGCTTGTGGAAACGCTAAATGACGCCAAGGTAATTGCTTTTCGACATCAGCTGCTCAAACATATCTCTTTACTAATAACTCTTGGCCAGGAAACCTCACTTATTATTGCAACACGTCTCATCGATACCGAAGAAACGGAAAAACTCATTACGGCCACGCGTGAAAAGTATCGTTCACTGGCTTCCCGTGGTGCCATACTCTATTTTGTGGTAGCTGGCCTAGCCGATGTGGATCCCATGTATCAATACAGTTTGAAATACTTTTCACAAGTATTCTGTAATGTTATACGCCTGGAACATCCTAAGCAAAGTATCGAGGAACGCATAGCACAGCTGAAACTGGACGAGTTGAAAACGATTTTCGAAAATGTCTCACGCGGTCTATTCGAAAATCACAAAATCATATTCAGCTTTCTGCTAGCGACGGCAATTGAGAAACAAGAAGGCCGCATTTCTCAAACCGATATGAATTTCTTGACCCGCGGCAGAGTGGGGGCTGTGCCCTTCAAACCTAAGCCGGACGATTGCTTGCTAACCGACGAGGACTGGGAAACATGCATTTTTCTGGAAACTGAATTTCCCGCTTATTTTGGCGGCTTTACTGCTGCGCTTGGCAAGCCTTTCTTTTTGCAAATACTCAACACGAAGGAGGTGAGATGTGACTATGCGTGGAAGCGTTTATGTGATTCTAAATTCCTTGGTTGTTTTGATAAGTAGGTCTTCAACTTCTCTTATTCGAGAGCAACAGCTGTGGACACATGGAACAAACGACTTACCATTTTTCATAAACTTATGTTTATACGCGTATTCCGGCGTGAGCGTTTTCTGCTGCACGTGGTGCTGTATTTAACCGCTACCGTAGGCAAATACTTCACCGAAACATCAGCAACAGGCAGTCAGTTGAAAACTGTGTATGTATAAATAAATTAAATTTAATGCAGCTCATACTCTTCACAATTCTGAACATCTCGCTTCTTCTTCTAGTTTCAATGACACCAACAACCTAACGCCTATGGTCTTCGTGCTCTCTACAGGCTCAGATCCCATGGCCGCTTTTCTCAAGTTCGCCGATGAAATGAAATATATGGATAAGTTCTATTCGATCTCACTCGGTCAAGGACAAGGTCCGATAGCTGAGAGCTTGATCGAAAAGAGTTTGCGTCTGGGTCACTGGGTATTCTTGCAGAACTGCCATTTGGCCACATCTTGGATGCGTCAAATGGAAGCCATTGTGCGCAACATTACTTTGGGCATCAGCAAAGCGCATGATGATTTTCGTCTCTTTCTCTCCTCTATGCCAACAAAGAGTTTTCCCATCAGTGTACTGCAAAACTCCGTCAAGCTAACAAATGAGCCGCCCAAGGGCATCAAAGCCAATGTATTGGGCGGACTTAACGATTTGGAGAAAAACTTCTTCGAGAAGCATGTATTGCGCGAGAAATGGCGTGCCATTGTGTTTGGGCTGTGCATGTTTCATGCAGTCATCCTAGAGCGACGCAAATTCGGACCGCTCGGCTGGAATATCTTGTACGAGTTCAATGAAAGTGATCGTGATTGTGGCCTCAAAACGTTGGATTTCTTTATCGAACGACAGAAGGTAGATGAAATTCCGTGGGATGCAATATTCTATATAAATGGTGAAATAACGTGGGGTGGACGTGTCACCGACTATTGGGATCAACGTTGCTTGAAGACAGTATTGAAAACATTCTCGTCGCCACAGATCATTGAACCAGATTACAAATACTCACGCGGTGATCCCTACTATCGTGATCCACAAAAACTAACTGTGCAGGAATATATACAGTATGTACAGAAATTCCCGACTATAGAAGATCCGGAGATTTTCGGCATGAATCAAAATGCAAATATTGTATTTCAAACAAAGGAGACGAACTTCTTTATAACAACGCTGTTACTGGGACAGCCACGCGCAGCGGCGGATGAGGGGCAGGCGGCGGAAAACGAGAATGCACTGGAGGTTATTCGCTCCGTACAAAGCGTGCTGATTACAAAAATCAAGCGTGACGAGCTTCACGAATCGCTTAGAGTTGTAAGTAAATATGCGTACAAGTAACAAATTTCATTTCAATCAAAATTAATTTATTTATTTGCCTTTCCACCTCCGTCCAGCTGGATGCCAAAGGTCAACTACCTTCCTTAACCACAGTGCTTGTGCAAGAGATCGATCGTTACAACATCAGCCTACGCGTCTTACACGATAGTCTAGTAAATCTATCAAAGGCCATTAAAGGGCTCGTCGTAATGTCCGACGAGCTAGAGGAAGTATTTAAAGCACTGCTCACCAATGTTGTGCCTAATTTATGGGCCAAAAAGAGCTTTCTCTCCATCAAGTCGCTGCCAAATTACATTGCTGATTTCCAGCGTCGCGTCGAATTCATACAAAACTGGACACGCAACGGTGGCCCACGTTCATATTGGATAAGTGGTTTTTACTTTCCGCAATCCTTTCTAACCGGCATGCTTCAGACGCATGCGCGCAAACGTGTGCTCCCAATCGATTCGCTTAAAATAGATTTTAAAGTCTACGATCTGGTTATCATACAACAGTTGGTTTTTGAGCGGCACGCCAGCGGCAAGGATGTAAATTTGAACGCGCACTCTCGTTATTTTGTGCTTTCACTTAAAATATCTTCTATCTCATTTTAGGTTAAAGATCTTTACGGTAGTCTACCAGAGTCGAATGACTCTGGCGTCAATGTGCATGGCATTTTCATTGAGGCCGCGCGTTGGGACTCACAACGTGGTGGACTCTGTGATGCGAAACATGGCGAACTATTTAGTCGCTTACCGGTTATACGTTTCATACCATGCATTAGCCTAGATCCGGGCGAGCGCTACGAGGCACCACTCTACAAGACACAAGCACGTTCTGGCGTGCTATCGACGACGGGTCACTCAACAAATTTCATACTCTCTATATTGCTGGAAAGCCGAAATTCGCCTGACTTTTGGATTTTGCGTGGCACTGCATTGGTTTCTGGCGTTGCTGATAATATTTCGTAAAATGCCTATGTGCGAGTGTATGCTTTTGTTTATAACGAACTTAATTAATTTAATAAAAATAATTAGAATATAATGCAGTTTTATTCAGCAACTCTTCTTCTTCTTTTTTTCATTGTTCAGCATTTTACGTAAGTCATTTAGTCCTCTTTCATGTCAATAACATCTCCATTCGTATTGGAATTTGGCGAACGATTGTTTGCACCATCTACCTCATCCATCATGCGTTGCAACAGTATCTCATCGTCAGGATCGATTGGTGCTACAAAAATATCGCGCACAGCACGAAATTTGCCTGCGTTGAATAGATGTTCATTCTCCAAGCGAAAATAATTCCAAATATAGCGTCTGTGTGTGCGCGTATAATTAAATTTGTTTTCGTGATATACATAATTGTGCTTGAAATATATTACCTGAACATCTCCAGCGCGCTGGCGATTGTATTGCAATGGAATACCGTCACATAGTTTCGCTGGTATATGTACAGTTTAAGCGCCCAAAATATGCGACAGAAAAAGTTTTCAATAATTGCAAAGTAATAGAAGCTCTGAAAGAAAGCAAGTATGCCGAATTAGTAAAGGAAAGACGGTTTTGAATGACTTAATTTCCATTGGATAATATATTTTGACTCCGTTTTCCCTCTTGTCCCTTTCCTAGCCTCGGTGAAAGAACCATTGAGGACATCTGTGTACTTAGTTCGCGTTTTGCAGCAAAAATATTCCAACGCTAGTTCGAAGATGTCTGGCATGCTTAGTTTTATGGGAACAATTATGCCTTTAGCTCATATTTATGTATGTACCTTATTATAAGTAAGAAAGATATATCAAAAGCTTTGAAATTATGTACATAGTATGTACATTAGAACGCGCCACCTTACAAGCAAACAAGAAAAGTTCGCCGTAAGCCTCTGAGTCTAAAGAATTTTTGCAAGGCAATCTTGAGAAACAATTTTTTTACCGGAAACCAAGGGCTTTTCGGTGACTCCTATATTCAGCAATAAATTTGTTTAACAGTTCGACTTCTTTACACTGTAACCGACCAAGCGATTTTGGCCGAGTCCAAAAGGACACGACAGCGGTTTCTCTTATGTGCCAACCGCCACCAATTGGAAATGCCAAATGAAGCAAATTCCTTCACCACCTGGTCTTCGTCTTCTTATGTTACCAACATCGCGATCCGCGTTGCACACTTTCAGAACTGGAGCATTTCTTGCCATTCGAACGACATAACCTTGCCTGCGTAGTCGCTGGATTTTAATGGGTTGCACTATGTCTATATCGTCGCTAGACACGAATAAAGACGCAGAAAGGGAATCGCAAAAAAAAATTTCCGAAAAAACATGCGTGAAAAAACTTCAGCGAAGTAAGACGCGTCAGCCTAGTTGACGCTGAAGAAAGATGCGTAAACATGGATTTATACATGGCCATTTCAGCATCATTCCACAAAAATTCTTTGGGGACTTTACATACTGTTACACCTGCGAACATGGTTGACCGCGAACTATGTTAAGAGTGTTTTTTTTTTGTGCCTCCTTTTTCGCGGTCAAATTTTTAGCTTATTGTTAAATCGCGTGCGGTATTCGCCATCGCGAACGCTCATGTTTTATCTAGATATATAAATATTTAGTTGGACACTAATATAGCCCTTCACTTTCTTTTATCAGAGCAACACGCTCAACATAGTTCATGTGCTTTTCACTCACCGCCGGATAGAGCAATTGATCCCTCAGAAATATATTTTCGCCGCTAAACTTCTTGAACACTCCAAAATCCATAATCATATCCCAAGTAAGACAGTAAACAGTCTGCACAATATTTGCGACAATGAAGAACCAAACAAAGGGATTATCAAAGTAATATTCATAAGAGTCTACAAAAAAAACAAAAAAAGTAATCATATTTATACAATTTACAAAGCATTTTAGTGTACGTACAGCGCGTGGTGGCCATGAGGAAACCGAACAATGATACAAAAAACGACATCGAGTACTTGCCCGCATTCACGATGAACGGGAAAACCAAACCCGTATCACGATATCGTCTCAAACACTGAGCAAACCGAAACCAAGCCGGTAGCACCAAAACAACTGAGAAAAGTACTTGATTGCCCCTCACACATGCAATTGGTTCGCGCGCGTCATCCATATTTAAATTTGTGCAGTAGAAATAAATCATATGTGCAAAATCAGCAAGACAGTAGGCGAGTGAGTTGAGCTGATCGCCGAGCCAAAAATCTGCAAAACCAACATAGAAAAATGGCGCTGCCATGACACGACCCTGTAAGACGAGATTTTCACTTAGCATTTTTTCCCAGCACCAATTCACTACATATATACACTCTTCGAAAACATACCGCAACTTTGAGTAACCATTTACGTGCCGAATAATTGCAAATCGGTAATGGATTCACTAGGAAGGTTATCATTGCTATGAGTAGCGCCAAGGGGAAGACATAACGCGATATTTTCAGGTAACTAAAATGTATGTACGCAAGTAAGGTGATCGTAACCACTACCGCCAATGCGACAGCCATTTCCATTACATGTGCCGCTGTCAGATATTGTCGAGGATCCAATTCAAAAATAAGCACATGATTGACACCCGCCTTGCGCCACCCATGAATGTTGATGCTAATTAACGCTAAGTAAATAGCAACGGAATAGGGTGCGCGAAAGAGTCGAACTAAGGCATCCCAATCATTTGCGCTCAGCTTTGTCATGAACACTGAAATATTTACATACATATGTATGTAAGCATCCGCGTATGAGAGATTCTAATTTGCAGGAAATTTTTGCAAACGACTTACGTGAAATGGCAAGCGCTGAAAGTAGCACAACAAGTGCGCCCAAATAGAGACCAACACGGAAGGAAGTCCATGGATGTTTTATATCTTCAAGTGGGGGTACACGTAAACGTTTCATAGCACGCTGACGATCGCCACCTTCTAAATGTTTCGTTACCACATCCTCCGTCTCATGAATTAGATTCATTATCTCACGATTGGTATGGAAAAAACTTGAGTTTACATTAGAATCGAACCACTGCTTGCCTCTGGTATTGCGCAGCAACTAAAAGTGGGCAAGCAATAAGTTTTGCTTTAACTCCAACACCAAAATACATACATATGTATGTATGCATTTACACACCTTATCGTGCTTCTTCAGTATCTTTCTAAATCCAGTATGATTTAGTGATTGATAGTTTTGTAACAGCACCAAACAGAGATACAGTTCACTAAAAGCGAAACGAAAGTCTTTAGTTTTGCGTCGTGGTAGTATTGTCGAGAAATCTATGATCGAAATACGTCCACGCTGTTCTGCGGCATTCAGTGACTTTTTCAATTCTGTTTTCAATGCAACATGTTTACGTTTGGCCTCTGCCAGTTTTTCGGCAAAAAATGTATTGACTTTTTGCAATTCCATGTCGCAGCGCTCAAAGAATTTATCATCGATGACCGCATAGTAGGACTGAACTGCACG